TATATATATAAACTAGTAGAATACTTTCCTCCCTAACTCTGTTAGTTATTACTTCTCTTAAACATAACATCACCGCCGTCCGCGTCGTGAACATTCCAAAGTCTTTTCCAACTAGCTAGCAACTACAATGCTTTATGTTCATCTATTCTGTGCGTTTTTGGTTTCCAATTTCTTCTTTCAACAAGGTTTAAACATGATAAAGATGTGTGCGCGATGGGATAGGAATTAGTCATGGGCGAACGGATGGATGGGCCGGGACGGCGATGAGAGATACTTATTTGCTCGTTATCTTTTCGGAAGCTTATGAACATTATATATATTGTTGAACACTATATTGTTGGATTTCTTCTTCACTTGAAAAGAAATTATTGTGAAACTCTCGTCGGCTTTATATCAGTCGCTGCGAATTGACATTTCATATGCAATTTTCTCTTTGTTTTAGTTAAGCCTTCATTCTTCTACAATCTGCCTTTCTTCCATTTAGCAGTACCTTACCCTATGAACTTCACTCATTCATTTTCGCCACTTGTGCTTCTCCCTCAATCTCTCCTTTGCACCATTAGACAGAAGCTCTACAATATATGTATATAGGTATGTATCTGTATGTACATATAAACATATGCCATTGGGTCGCTACTGGGCCATTTTTCAATGGGTTTGTTCCCCTTGCTTTCTGTTTTCCTTTTTTTTTATTTGCATTCTACTCTTGTTTCTTTATAATCAAATACACACCATAGACTTTTGTTACCGTTATTTTCCAGTTGCTAGAAAAGAACGTCACTCATCAGTTTTTTTATTAACAGCAACGTTCCTTATTATATTTTCCTACAGCGTGTTCAGAAGAGATTGTTACAGAAGGAGGTCCACACATGCTGCATGTCTATTGATCCGCAGCTTTCCGGCATCGCCTTGACTAATTGTAATAAATAGTAATAACAAAGTTGAATACATCAGCGAAGGACCGTTTTCCTGTATCGGGACGTTTCAGTCGTTTTCGCATTTCCATGGTTCAATCAGTTACTTTTTTGCTTAAACATATTAACTATATGCGGCACGTTATTTGTATTCGACCATTTCAATCGATACATAAAAACATAGATGATTTTACATATCTATCGATATAACCTGTTCCACTGACATTCTCTAACAACGAACAAATAGACAAAATGTATGAAATGAGTCATCATCACTGCGATTATTATGATAAGGTATTACTATGCACGAGAGAGGGAAGGAAAGTCACCAAGCTAATACCAATATATACCAATATAAACATTACTATTGTTGCTGATGAGGAGGATACGGTGGGGGGTAATGAATAAACTAGTTTATGTCATAATGCAAATCATAAGGGCAATCATAATGTAATAGTCCAGCTCTAATATATACATATATATATATATACATACACATATATATATATATATATATATGTATGTATGTATATGAATAATAATGTTAAACTTTACTGATTCGTCAGTCAATGTGTTTCTGTTCTTGCTGGATAAGTGGTTGGCTGGTATGTTACTTCTATCTTCATCGATTTCGTTTCCCGTTGGCCGTCCATCATCATTATTAACATGGCTTTTCTCTTAACCAAATGACACAATTCATTTCTCTTATGTTTTTCTCGCTGTTTTTCCAATTGTTATTATTTTTGTTTAAACCTTTCGTAGCACACCATTTTGTTGGGCCTACTACTGAGCCTTGCGATACTTATGATAGGTGTAATGGGGCGGTTTTCCAGCGGCGCCAGGCTGCTGTGATTCTTTTCGACAGCCCTCTTGCATCCAACGTTCGGCTTGGTCTACCTGTTGTGACGTGGCATTGTTACTTAGCCACTGTCGATGCCACGTATCGAAACGCTTTTTCAATTTGAGCGATACTTGTCGGGCTCCATCACGTGCCTTTCGTCGTGATGCCTGATTATACAGTAAGCCAGAATTTTGTACAACAAATACACTCTTATAATTTGCTAATTCGAGTTTGCATGCACTTGATCCTGTAGCTTCGCTTTCGTTCCTCGCTTTGCGTACATCATCGTCTTTTTCGATGGCGCTCGCATGAGCAGTTCGTCGGCGGCGTGCATTTCTCGGCAAAAAAACAGGCTTTTTCGCTAGACGCTCGCGGAGTTCCTCCGAATCTTCCATAGATTTGTCAACAAACTCTGCCCACTTTTCGACGTCTCCCGCCGCTGAGTTGTCATTCGATTCATTCGTCTCGGTGTCGATATACTCGAACGTCACTTTCGCCTCCTGATGGTAGATGAACACCTTATAGCAGCAATCATTAGCCATTTCTTTTTCGCCAGCATTCTGATAATGGTTCTCAGTTGAGGCTCGCATTGCCGTTGTAGAACACGCGCCCCCTGCTCCACCTACCTTACGGTACTGCTGTAGCATGCGAGTGCACGCAAGTGATGTTTCGTCTGAAACCAGATGTTGCAGCTGACGTGTAGCATTCTGCACAACCTTGTCCAACGTAAACGCATGATACGCGTTGATTCCAAACAGCTCACGTAACTGATCTTCGAACTGTGAGCTATCCAGTTGGCCATCTAACAACTGCTTGATCATTTCAACAAACGTACTGAAATATTCTTCCACAGGTACCTGCTGCTGTGGTTTCAGGCGCAAAGCTGTAACAACAGAATCTTTTCGGACAGACTTATCTTTCTCTTCCTCTTTGAGCAATATCTGTGCATATCGGTTGATTTTTGCAAGTCGCTCACATAGTATATGGTGTAGCCGCAGAAACAGATACCAGTGACTGTCGGCCATGAACATTGCGTACGAATCATCTGCTTTTTTGTTCTCAAGATACATGGCGTGTGCTGTGTCGTCGCTTGGTATCGACCCTAGCTCTTCGACTACCTCCTGTTCGCAACCTTCATCATCCGACATGTCCTCAGCTTTTAGATTTAACATCTCTGGGAGTATGCGACGCACAAGCCACTTAATGCGCTGCTTATCTTCCTTATTAACACCAGACTGCCTTCGCACGTAATGTATGATCAAATTCGATGCCTCACCGATCATCTCCCAGTGCGCTGGATACTGCAGTTGAAGGTGTGAACCCGGTGAAGGGTTCTCTTTTGAACACCGCTCTTCATAAACGGTGTCAATTTCGTTGAGTAAATTCTTGGAGCGGATTGTCTTCGAATCTGTTTGCTTGAAGGTCATTCCTTGATGATCAAGCGAACGAAGATAGTATTTATCCATTTGCTCACGCCAGACATTGTTGAAAGCTTTTTGAGCCTCACGCCATTCTTCTTCCTTGCTTTTTAAGCGCTTGAGTACAATGCCTACTGCAACAACAGGATTTTTTCGGAGGCCTTCGATCAGGTCGCCAGCCTTGTCGCCATAGATTCTTCGAATCGCACGTTGGTGAATCGTAGCGGACGTGCCTCCAAGATTCTCATCAAGGCGAAATTTCGACCGCTCTTCAGGCCCCATACGATTGATACGTCTCTGTACAGTCTCAAGTACGCGTATGGTTGCGAGGTTTGCTTCAATCACAATATCAAGTTCAAATCTCTCGTCTTCACAGCGATAAATATGCTCCTCAAACTGCGTCTTTTTCGAACTCACGAACGTTGAGTCCTCGCTCCATGACGGAAAGCTGACCCATGTATCGTTGAGAACCTCGCGACAAAGAGGTGTTCGACCTGAGCATTTCGGTTGTTGGTAATTTTTGGGCAGCGCTCGATATGATGCACCGTAGCGCTTGCAAGCTGAATAGTCAATCTCTTCAGGAGGGCATATTTTTGGCTGATTTGAAGATGTGTCGTTACTTGCTTGGGCACCACTGTTCAATTGGCTTTCAACAATTGGGGCAAAATCTTTGAAACCAATAAAATCTTTAAACCACTTGAATAGGTCTGGAAACTTTCCAAGGAAAGGCGTTACAAGGTGTACTAGTTCGGATTTAGACACAACTTCCTGATTGTAGAGATTGAGGCAACGTAAAAAATTTTCGTACACTTCGGGATTTCGCAAAGCTTTCCGAACCTTCTCGAAGAAGGCATACTCCTTAAGTGTGCCATGCTTGCCGGCGTCACTAATCGTGATTTCTCCTTTACTAAACTTGGTTCGCTTGACAGGCGGAGCGCTGCCAGTACTGGATGAATTAATTTGGGAACTACTGCGCGCCTGCTTTACTGGTAACTGCGTTGGCTGGGCCTGTGCGATTGCCGGCCTTGGCTTTTCCTGCGTTATGTTACGCATTTGATACAACACATGCGAGGTTACTTTACTAAACTCAACAGATGACACCGTCGCAGCTCCATTTGCGTCAGGCAGGAATTTCCCAAATTCCTGCAGTAAGTCATCCTGATCTTCAAAAAGAGCTGCGACCTGCTGATACACTTCAGATTCGGACAACGAGCCACCGGCGTCGCGACTCTTCTGTTCTTTTTGGTATGTGTGTAGAATATCAAGAAATTTTTTGTAGACATCGGGCTGGCACGCAAAGCGGTTTTTGATCTTGTTTACGTAATTGATAGCATGATTGAATTCAACCGGCGCCTGAGTGGGGCTGCGAGGCGGTGGTAGATTTGGAGTTGGGGGTCCATCGGGATGTATCGTATGTGATACTGTGCTGCCAGGCATAGAGATATTTACTTGTTCATTGCCCTGCAACTCAATCTTATAACCAGGCGGGAGGAAGGTGTTAAAACCAACAATTAGCTCAGGATGTCCGCGAAAAAGGTTCGAAACTCGCTGAATAACACCTGGGGTATCAATACTCTGTGATTTGAATTCTTTCATGATGTCTAGAAAGTCGTTGTATACATGCGGCTGACTGCCGAACTTGTACTTGACCAAGTCAAGATATGAAAGGGCATCTTCAACCTTTAAACGTTGACACTGTCCACCACTCGGAGCGCCGTGACCACCTCCAGGAGATGGGGGTGCTGGCTGGCCCCCACCGCCGCGGGGCCCAAAATCTTCTTTAACACTGCCGCCTCTGCCGGGGCCGCCGCCCGTAGCGGCGGAAACCCGGGTCTGACCGTACCCGGAATTCATTAAATTCTATTTACACTCAGCACAATCCCACACGGGCTGCCCGTTTACGAGTTGACCTTACACTTTAATTTGTCCGGCAGATTCACAAAATTTTTACTCAAAATACGGCAGCTGCAACAGCAACCTAGACCATCGCTACACTCGCCATCTTGTAAACAGATATTCGTCGAAAGAGAAAAGCAGACGAATGGTTCTGCAGTACAAAGGACACCAACTGACGTCATAGATTGCGCCATTTTTTCTAATAGCCATTATGCACTCGTCTTGCTTGAACTATTACCGCTCTTTATACCAACTAGTTCAATCCTTGTTATCTCAGCTCCCTATGACAAAATACACGCATAAAAAAAAGACTATTTTTCACATATCCAGCTGCAACCCGAGGTTATGATGGAAGCGCTAACTGAAGTTGTCGCCACCATCGATAACCATTCTATTTAGAAGCAGGTCAGCTGTTATTCATTTTGCAATGTATTTTTCTACATTCCATGTTACAATTTTTACATTACATGTCTAAATTTACACTCAGAAGAATTTTTCAGGGATTTCACTAAGGAATAAACGAAACTGCATGCGTTTGTTCTCCAAAACAGACGTAAAATAGACAAAGCGCTTATGTTTCAGGGAAAAAGCAATCGTTAGTATCGAAAGCAATGGATTTGATTCTATATCTATTTATAGAATCCATAAAGTTATATTTTTTCCTTACTAACCAAGTTCTGTTGCTTAATCGTGCCCCATTTACTAGACTAGTGTGTTAAGACGACATCCGCGCGGCCATTTCCTGCTAGTAATCGGGCTTTTCAAATTTCGTCGCCTACAAATATTAATCTATCTAAAGTTCTACTTACCTTCAAAAACGCTGTTTAACGTGTTATTTCGTAAATTCGACGGCTGTGAGAAAAGCCAGGAACAAAGCTTTGTGACGAGAGTACCTCACCGAAAACAAAAGCTGACGATTGGCGCCGATATTTGAAAAGGTTGTAGCAATAATGCCAATTGAGGCGGTTTGGCGCTCCTGTCAATGGCGTCAATCATTAACAATTACAGTGAAGAAACTACTAAGAATCATTAGGACAAGATGCCATTTCCCTCTCCCGTTTGCTGTTTGTAATGGTTTACCAAGCAGTTTAAATTTACCGATATATTAGCACACTTAGACGACAGTGCACTGTATATCGTAGGTTGTATTTTATACGTTACTGAATCAGTAACTTAGATCACATAGTCGATAAAGACAACGGCAAAAATGAAATTTATCAAGGCCGAATACACATTGAGGCAAATTTTCTGTCAGCTTGTAGACGATATCCCTACCCAATGTCGCTCTTACATCGGGAATTACAAAATATGCCCCGCATTTTCGAATTATCTTAAAAGACAGTACGCTTATTCACTTTTTTAGAATATAATAGTATCATTATGATGCTACATAAAATTGAACCCATGAATATTTAAAAATTTGTTTCGGTCAAGGAAACAAGTTGCGATTCTTTCATAAAAAAATCACTGTGATACAAGGTGAATTTGACAGATTTGACAAAGTCGCCTGGGCGGAGCGAAGGAACATCGGGTAACCTTATTAGTTTTGTAATCAATGGTAGTGAGCGCAAAGAACGTGTGAATCTTATAATTCTGTTTATAGTGCTGAAGGCCATAGCCGTCTCGTCTAAGGGAGAAGGAATGAACATTCAGTTGTCAAGTATGCTCAAAGAAGACAATTGTAACATTTTACCAAACCAGCTAATTAAACTAAAACTTCTAAGTTAGGAGTATTAGTTTGTGGTGTAAATTTCTCCGTAGTACCTAATGGAAAATCAAGTTCTATTTTGAACATATTATACAAAAATGCCCCATTTGTGAAGCTAGCTTTTTTGAAATGAAGTATACACAGTTGGTAAACCAAGTTTGTATAGGTAACTTTATATTAGTTTACTCTAGCAAGCAAGTGGCCAAAACATTTAAATAATAAATAAGAAGTTGCATTACTTCAATGCATAATTGGTTGTCAATGCAAATAACACGCGGTTTACGTTTTTATAATGTATAATGCAAGTCTTTTCAAGCAATACAGTGTCAAACATTGAAGTATAAAATAGTAAATATTAGTATTAAGAAGTTTCACAGCTTTGGAAGAAGTGTTCTCATTTTAAAAGTTATTAAGTTAAAAGCTGAATAAGTTATCCTGATACAACCTAATATTCTATGTTTGAAGCAATGTTTATTTTATGAGAATTTAAATAATCGACTTAATATTGTTTACATAAGTTTATTTATATGGGACTGTCGAAAAAATGCGTTGGATATTCTCTGGCTAGTGATTTTAAAGTAACATATTGCAGGCAAAATGAACCGCGGTTCGACGTTTATGTTATTTTAAAGCCGAGATTTGGCAGTAGTTATTACATTGTTGAATTGCCTTTATACAGATAAAAAAAATACAGCGTCTTGATGATAAGTGAAATTTCGGCAAAGATCACAATTTTTTAAGCTTAGTAAATAAATATAAAAACGATAAAGGCTAAATGCTGCCTAGGCCTTTAAAAAGATTATGCTATTTATGGCCAAGATGTGTTGTCGTAAAAACGACTCAACGAGAGTTCTATAGTTCTAAAAATTTCCAAGTAAAAGATGCTTCTCTTAGTAGGCGATTAATGACGGAAAAAAATTATGAAATTATTGCGAAAACTGAACAAAACCGGTATGTAATATCGCCAAAAACTTAAACATCTGCTACCAAACAGTTTTAAAGCTTTTGGAGAAAGTGGGCTACAAAAAAAAATTGATGTTAGGTTATTGGTGGGGTTAAAAAGGAATTGTGTATTATAGGTTGCCGCTGCTGAGCAAAACGATTGAGTCAAACCTCTATTGTCAACAGCTAATGAGCTTACAGCAAGCCATTAAGAAATCGGCCGAAACTTATGAGAAGAAGCGTTGTCTTCCACTATGACGGTGCCACGCTATGCACATCTTTAGTTACTCGATAAAAACTAAGAAAACTTATATGTACCAAGAAAACTTAGACATCCGCTGTATATGTCGATTACCATCTGTTTCAGTCTTGCAGAACTTCTTTAATGGTGTTAATTTACTTCCAGCGCAGGGACGTAAAGAATCATTTGTTATTTGTTAGTTAGTGCTTTTAGCCCAGAAACCACGAAGTTCTACAGTGCTGAGATTATAATGTCAGCAGAAACATTGTAGAAGGTAATCGATTAAAGCAACGCGTATTTAGTTTGATGATATTACTATAGATGATGAAATATAGAAAACATTTGCTTCAATATTAGCTTAAAATGGTCAATACATTTTCAGTAACTGGACATACCTATAAAGTAATAAATACATTTTGAAATTAAACTTTTTTGCTAAAGTGCATATGAAACCTACTGTGGCGTCTTTAATTTTTTTTACCCCTTATGTTCAACAAAAGTTCGTTGGATATTTTTATTAGATATCTTATTGCCGATGGCGTCTTCAAAGGCATTGTTGATCCATTAGACACAGTGGACACGATATAAACCCCTGCCTTTTGAATAATGGGTTTCTAAATACATATGAAATGCTATACTTGAAATCAGCCAAAAGTCACAAGTTGATCTACCTTGTAGCTTTTAACAGACAATGGGTGTTATACCCACACAGAGGTAATACTGAAAGGTAGTACCGCTACCGAACAGTTTTGGAATCCTATTTTGAGAAAACGCCCACACACAGAGAGTTACGTTCATTCCTTTAAAAACTTATTTAACTAAATAAATGTTTCAGTAAGACATCGTCCTTTAAGTATTTGTCATTTATTAACACGTCATGCATGTGCACATAACCTGTGTCTACATTAGAAACAAATCCTAGTTCTCACCGATGGTTAAATGTGTATTAGCACTACATGTCCTACGCGCAGACACTTAAATATCGATATGCAAAGATCCCCCCCATCATCGAAAATCATCATGATATCACTAACATGATGAGATTCGAGAGGAAACTTTACTCGTTTTGAAAAGATGTATTTTATGTGTCACTGATATTACTATTAATTAATATGAAGCCGACAGTGAAATAATCGGCTAAAACTTTTACATATACATTTGAAATTGTAAAAATCGTGCATATATGTTCTCCCAAATCTCTTATTTCCAAAAATATGAGTACAGCGATGCATTTATCGAAATTTTAATTGGCCTATAGATTTACTCGTCTCGTAATATCAAATTCTTTCATCGTTAATAGTCTATATAGGCTCGTATTCTCCAGCCACTATAAATTATTGTCCAATGAATCAAACAATATTTCTAATGCAACATAAAAGAGCTTTTGAAGTCATGAAAGCGGGTTACCTTTTATTATGTATATGCCTTTTTAGGCATTATACATCCCTTTAAAGAATTAGGGCTGGTAACGAGTGGGAACGAGTACAAGTCTACGATCAGGTTGAACTTTTATGATACTCGTGTTGGTCAAACGTGACTACGATTTGAACCTACTTTTATATATACTCTTATATATAAGAGCAAAAAACGCATCGAACCTATCGTTGATGTGTATGTAGGGTGCACATTTTTTCAGTCTGTAAAGTACGTCCCATACAACCAGGCCAGTCACAGATCTATTTTATCTGTCGGTATGACAGATAACTCGGCATTAGGAGTGGCTGCTTCTAGAGTAGTTTTTTATCCAAACATTGAGCCATTTTAGAAGCTGATTTGTCAGATGTCACCTTGAACTTAGTGCATTATGTGGATTCGCACAAAAGTCAGCGAGAAATGGGAGCAATTTGCACAGATTGTTTCAGGATTTAGTATTACAAGTAAAAAGACCCTTTAAACTTGTATATTACATTTCCTAACTATACCCTGTTTGTGTAATAAATGTTAATGTAATAAACGACAAATGACAAAAAAAAAGGTGAGCGATTGATCTTGGATTGTGTTTTCAAATTTTTTCTTAAGCTAGATTGTCACAGATCAGAGGAAATTAAAGTTCACTTTTCCGTTGCCAAATAGGGGGAGCGGTTTCGTCACAATTTCGGGTGAGCTGAAGGTAGAAGTCGGCAAGCCGTCGAAAGTTTAGTTTCGAGATACGTTCATTATTGCCGTGAATAGTTGAAATATCATCTATTGTCAGCAACACTGGCGAAAACCTGAATACAGAAGTAACGTAATACATTATAAGGTGGCGTTCATCTATCTTCTTTTAGCCTACTTTGAGCAAAAAATTTAAATGAAGCACGACGCGTTCAATATACCATTACCTGCTAAATTTCGCGTAGATATTTATCAGTTATTGTTCCATTATCATTATGAGCTTGCCCGTAGTGTTAGGGCTAGTCTCAACCATTGGTTCAAAAATTGGGTGAAAACGTAACATATGACAAACCTGTAGATATTCGTAGTGAGGTTTGCCTCGAAGTAATGTCTCGTATCCGTATTTGCGACCATTAGATGTGGCGCTACGATTGCTTCAGGATAGATGCGCTTTACCGTCCGCTTGATATTTTGATAACCAAAGGTGTTATCGGAGTACGGTGAACTAGGTATTGGTTCACTCCATGATTTCTATAATGATGCATAAATAATATATTTATAATCGATTGGATAATTATATATAGTGGAGTGTATATATTTTCCAAGTGTATAAATATTGAAATTTGTCTCGCATCAGATTACATGTGCTCTACTGAGACTGACAGACCGTCGGATAAACGAGAATTCATTTAACCAACCTTATATATATCGACTGACACGTTGGGTATGTCCTTAACCAGCTTTCGATCGTATTGTAATACTTCTTCAATGGTTTGACCTGGTAATATTCGGTGATTTACCAGAGCCTCCGCCCGGTTCGGAATAGTATTTTCCTTAGAACCGCCTTTAAAAAAATATATAGAAAGGTGGGCTGAAATACTGCTTTTAGATGTCTTGCTTGCGTTAGTATGCATATTTTGATTCATTTAGTTCATATTTTTATAAAAATCGAGGTATATCTAAAAGATGGCGTTGCGGTGAGGTGAGACACTTGTAACTAGGCATTTAAGCAAGCATTCAAGCCGCCTGATGTTCTTATGCGTAATAATCATCATCACATTTACACCACGGTTTTTGTAGCCTTGTATTCATATTCTTTGTGGTAGTCCACATCATAAGTGAATTGAACTTTAAAAAATACGAGACGTAACCATTTTTTTTCTCAGAAAGCAAACTTGATCCAGTATTCTTGCCAATACAATTTGTGACACGGCTAACACAGAGCAGGCACCTGAAATCAGCTGCAAGTATACCGTAGCGCAGGTAACCTTTTCTGTTTTTAGTCTCCGTTAATTTGTTTAGGGAACAACAGGTCTCAAAGTGCAGCTATAGTAACCCTTCAATCTTTTTAAACAAGCTCTCCTTTCTCATATTTCTTTATTAATCGATGTTCCGATTTAAAGTAAAATCAGATTGTTGGTACCGAAAACAGAAACCGTCACGAACTTAAAGTAGGCAAATCAATACTGACTGATTCCATATCGTACTAAAAAGTTTTACGGGTTTTTGGCCATCGGTCACATCTAGCATTTGGGAAAAGTTTCTCGAACGATCCCAGTAGAATATACTCTAAATATAAATCTATAATAATTATAAATTAAAGAATATAAATCTAAAGTATCCGCATTTGTTGGGTAACTTTTCAAGTTGAAACATCTCCGTGCGAAGAAGATATAAAGGTACATGTTGTACAATCTAAAAATAAAACGTATGCTTACCTTGCTTGTTTTCAAAAAATGGTATAAACATGGACATTATTATTTCAAGATTTGAACTTGAAAAGTACAATAATAATATAGATTATTGTACTTTTGTAGGTCTAAATGCTAATAATATAATAAATAAAATAACAATAAGTAAGTAATCGGCACAAAGCCAAAGTCAAAACATCCCTGCAGCCAGCACTAGAGGCTGTAAACTTAGGTATGTTAATAAGATGCAATGCCTCCGTGCATAGAATTAATACCATCACGGAGTCGGCACAGTAAAGACCATGAAAGGCCGAATAAACTGGAACTATGGGACTTTACACGTAGAGACAATGTTTTTGTCAGCAGAAAAAATATTGCTAGTAGAATCTTTAATCACTTGTAGCAAGAGGAAGACGCCAGTACAATTTGCCTGCATGTATACCTGCACTGCAGGCACGAAAGTCCGAGAAAACTGGACAAGTAACAACTCGACTAGAAACAATTAGCTCCGTAGGTTCCCTACAAGAAACACCCATCCCTCACCTGATCAAATGTGCTTAGAAAGAAAAGGTGCAAAGTGATTGGCCGAAGAAAACACTCCATCACAGTCTATGGTTTGTGATTTTAAGCACAAGCAGTACCGAAGTGGCTAGATGTTTATCGTGTACGTTTCTTGCGGGTATTTACCATCCGATATCAGCGATATATGGAGATGACGAGATGTATTCAGTGATATTCAATGAATTTTATTAATCAGCATATGTTATCTATCCATTAGAGCTGAAGACACGTGTGGCGGCGAACTGATCTCTTAACTTCAGTTATAATCAACAAGCCTGTCTCAACTCACTCCATGTGGTACTTCAATTTGTACATTGGAATGAACTAAAATATTTTCTCAATTGTGCAAAAATTTACAAGGTAAATGCATTATGTGTATGTGTTCAAACCAGATGGACAGCTACATGATAGCCAAATGACAAGGCTAAATTATACACACTCATTGATATATGTTTTGTACACATGATACGTGAAAAATATAGCACACCAGAGGAGATAAGCTGGTGTGATCCGGACATTTTTGATGAAGCAACGTGCTTTTTAGTGCTTGGTTGTATTGTAACATGAAAACCTTTATGCCAGTTCACTTTTTCCTCCTAGGTACACTTACCTGAAGATCTGAACTAATTCAAAAGAGGCGTTTTAATTAAAATATGATCTGGTACGAGTTTTGTCTTGTTTGCTATTGCTTTCACATTTTCATCTACATACCTTGAATAACGGTAACAGCAGATGTAGTTCTCATTTGGGAGCTAATAATCTCGTTCCGTGCCATGGCGAGTTCGACAAGTGGATGAAACAACCATAAATTCGAGTAGATGATATCATAAGGGAAACGCGCGTAAGGAGCTACCTCTTTGATGAGAGACTCCTGTAGTGCAGTCATATAGGCAGGGTGAGCATCGTTGATGAACCTAAGAAAAGCATTTAATGCCTCAGTTATCTTCCATATACCATATACTTGGAGTGAGATTTAACTGAGCAGAAACAGATCCAGCTAGCTCACTATGATACCTGTAGCATACACTTAGATTTAAGATTTCAGGTATAGTGTACATACTTGAATAGCCAGAGCCTCCTACCTTGTCAAAGCTCTGGATAGTGTGGTAATAACCGTCTCACGTGAGGGCATGGAGGCGTGCTTTGAAACACTCTCGCATTTAACTTTCACCGTAAGATATCCTTTCTCTGCTACCCCGATGCTAAATGTGAATCACAAACAAAAATCAATATGATTGTTCAAACAACAACAAATCAGATGAAAAAGACTATCTGTTCTAATAATCTCAACTTTTAATTGTTTGACCGCTATCCGGGAGCCGCACAAACCGCATCCCTGACTCGACTTTTCTTCAAACAGCTTTGATACGCAAGCAAACTTACAGAGCGACTGGCGTGTCGACACCTGGAACAGCTCCTTGCAGTATAACTAAGCCCTCATCCATGATGAAGTCGAGCGTGACCTTCAGTGTTCGTAAGTATTTAGCAATCGTCTTAGCTCCTGAGTAACCATGTACTTCTTCGTCGTGACCCAGTGCTATGAAAAAACCGCGTTGAGGGCGATTCTTGAAATGTATCCTGTACGCCAGCATTTCCAATAAAGCCTAATATTGCATAAAGGTTGAGCAGCGTTATCAGATACCACCTTACTCTTTCGTTTATTTCTGACAACATTACAATCCAAATTATTAGTTTTAATCAATACCTTTTACTGATAAATCTGACCATGATTGAACCTTGAAGGATGCCGAGTATATGAATCCCAGATGCAAATATACATTAAGTAATACATGCTAAAAATATATAGTCACACCATGACGTTGTGTTTGTCGTCGAGGGCACCACGACCCCAAACGTAGACGTCGTCAGTGTACCCATCAAAAGGCGGATGCGTCCAAAACTTTTTGTCAACCGGAACGACATCAAAGTGAGCACACAGCATGTATGGCTTTAAACGTAGGTCCAAACCGCGCACTTGGATCAACAAGCTGTAGTTCCCGATGACTCGGTGCAGAACCCATTCTGGCGGATTGCGAAAAATACGAGGAAAACCTAAAAATATGAGAGGGTATCACCGCGATTATAAAAGTCAACAATACAAACATTCCTTGCGTCAAAGGTGATGTATTCACAACTGTAAATAATTGTATACTTTTTTTAAAGTTGCTAGAAGTTAAACACGTTGCTAGAAGTATTTTTATACTTCTAGCAACGTGTTTACTTAGTTATAGATGAAACAAGCTGACACGTTTGCTGCATTTGGCATCGATCCGCTTCCCCACAGGTGCGGCAAGCCGTTACAAGTCGTCTGGTGTAAAGCAGGCGTACATATGCTTGAGTTGTTGAAAAAGTATTGACCGTATTCAAGCGAAAAGTTAAAGCAAATATTTTTATTTGTATTTCAAAATAATATGACTAAACTAAACGTGCATCATTTCAATCAAAGATCTACGGTTTTTCTTGTAGCACCATTATCTTATCACTAGAGAACTTTGTGGTTTCGAAAGGTTGTGACACGTTATTTTTCAATACTTCCATTGAAACTAAATTAATACCGTCAAGAAAGTTCAGAAAAGACCAAAGCAGACGGTGCAATATCTGGACTATGCAGCAGACTTATTAAAATTCTCCATCCAAGTTTTGTCAAGCGGTTTGACATCGTTATAGTAGAAGACGACGCTCTTTTCGTTCACTAATTCCGGTTGATCTTTTTTAATGTCTTGCTGTAATTTCTTTAGTTGTTGGAAGCGAAGAACCAAATCCATCACTTTGTTAGACAACCATAATTCATAATGCACGCATCTATTCCAATCTCGCCAAACATATAGCACTATCTTTCCTGGCGTCAAGTTTGGTTTTGCTATTGAAGATCTCCTTTTTATTTGTTCATTATTGTTGTCTGTAATCTATTTTTCATTACCCGTGGTCAACCGCTTTATAAACGGTTTGATTTCGTAGTGCTTCTGTGAAGCTTCGTAAATGGAAATATGATCGAGTATATGATTGTACGTCAATTCGTATAGCATACAAACATGACGCTCCCTCTTGTTGCCAGCTTTCTTCAACTGGCTTAGAACTTCTTATTGGTGCATCTTTAGTTTCTTGGCAATATCATAGTTACTCACGTATCCATCTTCGAACTTTCGCAAATTCCCTCAACTTTTTCCGCTATTGGTCGACGGCTACGAGGAGCATCTTTCACACACAAATTTCTAGAATAAAAGCACCAGGACAATCTTTGAGCTTTTTCCCGATAATGCATTTTGACTAACAACTGCACATATTTTTATGGGCTTGGGCAGCATGTGTGCTCTAGTTATAATGAAATTGTAAAATACAGCGAAATTTCACTGATATTTAAAACGGAATATATTAAGTCTGTAACAACTTAGCGAACTACTACTACCAGAATTCAGTTTTCAAATGGCATCAACGCCGATCCTATGCGACCCGTTGCCTGCGATATGTTATCTTTAATTAATCCTCATAGAGACAATTATTAGTTTTTCGATAACCCAATATTATGACGTTATATGTATAATATATAATACATATATATTAATAGATATATCCTAAATGCAGCAAGTAAAGAAACAAGCGTAGTTTAGTACAAATGTCGTTTTTGAAGTGTTTTTATTCTAAAACTATTTTTCCATTTCAGCTTATAATAGGAGATTAAATGCGTCAGGTATTTAAAAAAGGATACATACATGTAATTCAATGAACATTTTATATATCCCATGTAATTTAGAACAAAGGTGAGCAAATAACGGTGATATAAACTTTTTGTATAAAAAAAAAAACTATAAAAAATAAAAACTAAGCCATAACCAATAGAACGTTTTTTCTTTGAAACTTGCACTTAATTATACTAGCTTCTTCCGCATACGCATTGATGCTTGGGCTAAAAAACTTTATACTTGGAGATACAGACTAATTGATATTTGACTTACGTTTGAAAATGAGGTTGTGTAACCCTTCGAACGCAGTGTGGTTCAGCTGTTTTCCAGAATGAAGATCATACGAAATGGTAGGAAACCTAATAGCTTCAGAGAGACCTTTGTAGATTGATATAGGGAAGTTTTTCTCTAGAGCTCTTGAGTTGGGATATTGAACAGATGCTTTTAACACGGCCGTGCGGGACGCCAGGTATAGCAGAAATGCTGTTAACACAAAAAGACCCACGTGTACCGCGGCTCTCATTTCTGACATCCCTGCAACACCAGATCCAATAATTCCTCTTCATTCCTCTGACAGCAAAAAAATACTTCTAAGAAATCAGTACTAAACTTTTCTTTCAGCTTATTCACAAGCGCACATGTTCTCTGAAAATTTAAAAGAAAACATGAAATTCTTTTAATAATAGACATGAAAATTAAATTCAAAACAAGATGTAGTAATCAAATATTTAAACGAAGATCATACTAAAGGAACGTTAGTATCCACTTTTCTTTGGATATCCAGATGCAAAAGCTATAATCTAAAACTTTAGTTTATAAGCTATTTTTTCGTTGATCGCAGTCCACAGCTTATTTTATTTTACAAAAATATGTAGCATGAATGTGCATTACAATCTAAATATGAAAGAATTTACACTATGTATCTTAGAAAATCGCGAATCATTTCGTTGTTATTTACAGCCTAGTGCGTAAAGACACATAATATGGTAACTATATCTATGTAATAAAAGTGTATTATTCTGTACACACTACTTTTATCGTTCTTAATGCAAATTCTTGTATATATGTACACACGTGGGAAACAAGTTAGTTGGATTCGAGAATTCAACCTGCGGGACAGTTCAGCTTTAACAAGAAAATATTTATACGAATGATCGAAGAAAAGGTGAATATAGCAACACATCGCACCCGTATTAATTTCAAAACTGGTATTTTCTGCATAGTAGGCGACGAACTCGTTGTAGGCAGAACGTTCGATAAAAATGTTTTATAGATTTTTCTTATAAATATTACACTGATGGATGGAAAATATCACATATAAATAGGTCGCTACAATTTTTTTTGTGTATAGATTAATGAAACAGCTAAGCAGAATACTTTGACAATGAATAGAGCTCGAAAAAATTGATATTTTCATATTGATTACCCCCGAGCCTCGTCATGAGACACGCAAGGCTATGAAGTAAAATAAATAGAAAAGTAAATATGGAATAAATTCCTAATCCAGCGCTTCGATATTTTTTTAGCTAATGCTCATATGACAGGTATATAATACGTCTGACAGGTATATATTTACACTGAACTCTCCTTTTGCTTCCCCATTCACCAATTAACACGTTCACATTGAATAATAAGTAATAAGAAAGATACAACTTTTGTGGTAAGAATCAATAACTTTACTAGCTATTACCATCTGTTACTTAACTTGACCATATATAATATATATACATGAAGAAAGACATCTTACTCGCCTTGTGTATAAATGTTACGTCTATAAGAGACAAATGGCAGAAAGTTTTCTCGGTGGTCCTCTCAAAGGAAAAACGAGATCTTTTAGAGATCGTCAAGGGAAGGTGCTAAAAACTTGCTACTATAAAGCACTTTCAGCCATATGTTTTACAAGTTTTCTCTCGAAGCTAAAAAAGCTCGAGGCGTAATGCCGGAAAAATAGTATCTCTTCCCTAGGGAAAGTCTACTAGCCAAACCCTGCTTGTCAAGATAGAATTTATTAAAGGTTTAAAGAGCACCAAACAGAATTATTTGGTTGTCTTTAAAGCGGCATTCGACCAAACACCGAAATATAATATTTTCTTCAAGCCCGCCGAAGCAGAAATTGCGCGCAAGCTCGTCTAGCGCATTGCCTCAATTCTGCAAAAGAACTCCTTTCCAAATCAAGATGGCGGGGCGAAACTGGACTTCTTGTAACAAGTGACAAAGGTGGCTCCACGTAGTCATGACCCTTAGTTTTTTTTAGTGCACCTGAACGATGTTCTAAACAGCTTAAAAAAGCCTAAGCGCACATGTTAATTCTACTAAACGCTGATGACCTTGCAATTTGAGAAACAAATCGCTTTGAGGTTTAGCAGGCGTTGACTCGATTTTAACAGTAAATAACGAATGTTGGCCTAGAAATCATTAGACAAAACCAAAACCATTAAGTTCCGAAAAGTAGGGTCACTAGCAGCAAATGGTACTCTACGATTGTATTGATCGCCTCTAGAATGCATGAAGTGTGTTCCCTGTCTGGGTCTATATAAGTCTCTATTTTGAGGCTTGCTATATTGAACATATAGCTAGTCGCATTAGAGAAACATGTTGCGAGCGCTGCCACTTCGTAGGGTGATAAATCACTTCGCTTTCGCAAAAAGGCCTCATGTGGCATCGAGCTCAACTAGGAGAATATTACCATAGTCAAAATATGTAGTCTGGACTCGCTAAAGCCTGCTTTCATCAAAACATCACTGAGCCTGCATACATATTGCAGTAATCATTATAACTTAGCTAGTGAATATTCGCTGAGAATCTTCAACGTCAGTTTGGTCTATCGAAAACGCCCGTCTATCTGAAATTCACCCGACAACAAAGGCAATGAGTGGCCGATGTGTGCTATGGTATATTAATCAGGCTCAAGAATACCATTTGTAGGTTAAATAATATTTCTTTTTTGTTTTGATATTTTATAAAATGTCATAATGTTAATATGTTTCATACATCAGGCAAAAACGAAAATAAATTGCGTTAATGTAAAAGAACGAATAATGGAAACAGAATTCCAAAGGTGCACAAGTAAATAAAAATTAGAAAATAGTAGGAGTTCCGTGAAAAATAAAAAAATGATAGAGAAGTGCAACTAGGCGAAGGATGAGGTATATTATATATATATATATATATATATATATATATATATATATAATAGTTCTGAAACGCTTGCCGAAACTCTTTCCATTAAAGAGCACTTGTGTTATATACATATATATCTGCATATATACAATAACCTGACTTTACATCAAGAACCAAATTAAGTTAACACAATTAAAAACAACAATCAAATTCCACGTCTTAAATTGTTCAATTGAAACACTAAAGTTGCTTAATTATTTATGATAAAATGACAAGTGATTCAAAAAAGCCGCCGTAAAGACCGGTTTGCCGCACGAACATCAAAACAGCTGATAGCAAAGCAGCTTGGTAAGACCAGGCTGTTAGCAACGAAAGACTTCGCACTTTTATTAGATAATTCGAGCAAATCAAAAAATGGTTAAGAAAAGTATCACTCACCACATAGACGTTCAAAAGCAAAGTTTGCTCGTAATGCTAAACAAGAATTTTGTCCTTAGCAAACAGTCCCGTACGTATTGTTGCCGCGTCGATAATCGCTTCCAAAGTTGCTTTATATATACTATATAGAAATACACACAGGCTTAATGCACGGTTACACAGTTTCGTTAGATGCAACGTTCAATCTTAAGGTATTTATTAACAAATGCTTTTTGGAGTTCATATCAGTCGGCGCTCCTGCTACTGATCGACATTGCAACCCACTCAAATAAGTTCTAAAAAAACGTTATGTTGATTTTATTAAAATGCCGGTTAGCGGAATGACGATAGTCCGGTTTAAGATATTAATAATCCGAAGACTATCATTATTATCAATGCACCCAAAAAGAGAAAAAAATGAACCGCACTATGGGCACTAGCAAAGAGTAAAAAGAAGAAAAACGGATCCGCACAACAATAGAGGGCTACAGCTTATTCTGTCGCACAAGTGCTCCACTGTCCGCTCTCTGCTGATTGAACTATGAGAATAACAATGACAACTCATTGCAGCAACGCTTGCTAAGGAGATCTCCCTAACAACGTTCTACAACTGTCGGGGCGTCCGCCGGCCGATTAGTTAGTCAACAAAACAGTTTCCAACGTTACCACTGTTAGAGAATGAAGCTTTTGCTTTCTCTTCCACAGTTGGTGTTCATAGGTACGTCCAGCATCGGCGCCCCTACTAGAAGTTCGCCCTTACTCACGAGGATCCCATCGATCGAGTGCACAGCAGCGCCTTCTTTAGGGGCAGCGGCAAAAATGGCATTAGCGACATCAACTGTACACGGCTTATCGGCAGGAGCACCGGTGCTATCACAAACAAGGCTAAATAACGAAGTGTAAGGTGGAAAAATCCAGACTGTCCGATAAATGATAGTTTCTCCAACAACGCTTTTATAGAAACTGTTAACTGCGGAATGGCTAATTTGAATGGACAGCCTTCCCTTTGTTCGTTCCCCCTACCAGACATAAAAAAAATCGTTGAAGGAGTAAAAGATACACAAAAGAAAACAATGCCTCATGAGCAAATTCAAATGTTTACTGTTCATATCTAACCTAAAAACCATTATTATTTAACAATATTAGACATGTGAGGTCATTCTAAAAACAATAGCTTACTGTGTGTGAAAACAATCGTCACGTGACAAAGAATCTTATTACGCTCGGAAAAGACTAATGTATAGAAATAACAAATAGACCAACAAATAAACTCTTTTTGGGCCTGTATTTGACCGTAATTATCTCTGTGTTCTAAGAATATTCAGTATAGCCGCGCTCGAAAGCTCTTCCAATATTTCAATAAAAGCCAATAGCGATACATGCCAAAAGGTACCCTCTGCATCTCTTTCAAGCTGATTGCTTGATTAGACATGTTTGTTCAATAATTATATTTTTAACTATTATTAAAGTCCAAAGAATAATATAATTGTACCCAAGAGATTTCATGAAAGGAACTTCAAAAGTTTATAACTATTTGTAGTTATAAACTTTTGAAGTTATAAACCTTTGATAAAAAAAAAGGGATGATGTTCGATATATTCAAAAACCAGAAATAAGAACTAAGATAATTAAACTAATAAGAAGAATGTTTCGAGACTTATCGGCGCTGGATCTTATAATATTTTGTATGGAAAGCAAAAATGTGTGTAAAATATTGAAATTGTGGTGCTGCTAACAAATTATGGTTTCACAATCTTCAAAAATCCAACCGTTTACGGGATAAGTATGAAAAGCTAACTTTATACCGCTTTATATATGCATTCAAGAATTGTGAGACTGGAAAGAATTTATTAAAATATATAATATATAAGTATAGTGAAGAAAAATTTTATTATTATTATTGTTATTGGAAGAACGACAACCGCGACTTAATCTTAGCTCCAGTAAGTACAAAAATCGCAATTATTGCGATCAATGTAATAACGAATTATATATGAAGACACTAATGAAGCGTTTTATGTAGGTGTATAAATCAGTTTGAATCGTTATTATGGCCTCCAAGATATAGAAGGAAGCCAGCAAGACCTACGGTATGATACTGAACAGATGTGGTGTAGGTTGCAAATATAAATATGTTCCCAAATTACTTCGAACTGACGCTACGTGATACCCTCACGAATGAGTAGTGTCTCGCTGTGATTCAGCTGGGCATTTAGTCGACTGAAAAGCATCGAACTATTACACTGCCTCAGAACGTAGATGTGCATCGCGTAAGCTGAGTGGAAATAGAATAGATTGAAAAAGGATATGGGTTGAACAGGTTATTCATGGGTAAAACAATCACAGCAACTAATATAAGTTATGTATAAAGCAATCATATGTTTAAAATAGATGAATAGATAGTATCGACAACTAAAAAAAGGTGAGTCTTGAGATAGGAACGGGATGGTACCTAAAGAACATACAAATGGTTCAGAGTTGCAAAATGTTGATTCCAAATGATCTCTAACTAAGCCTGTGGGTGATTAGTGAAGCTAAGAACGATCTCCCACGTTATCTTTTCTTCATGCGCGTAGAAACTAAAATAGTTTAATCAGTATAGGACCGAATCAAATACGAAGGAATTGACGAGGTGCTTAAAATAGAAGATGAAAAATTCGGGATTGTCATTATTGCCTTGGTAATAATAAACAGATAATCTATAAGCACGCCGTAACCTAAACCGCTATCGACCTTTCAACCTTTTTATAAACACTCCTTAGTGATCAAGTACTCGAGTAGTGATAAAGTAACACGAACCTAATAAATCATAGTTGATGCAGTGAGGGCGGTACCCGGTTTGCTTTGCAATAAACGGCAATACCTAATACACTGGAGGACAGGCGCGCTGGCAGCCTTGCTTGCCGCATCCGTTCGGAAACCGCACAGGCCTGCTCCCTCTGCAGCGATAGTATACAACATTCGGTACGTGCCGTCGCATGTTTTTTGTGAGCAGAAGCAAGGAATTATGATTCTTCGGCATACAGTCGCCAATGATTGCTCCGCGTGAGCATTCTTTTTTTGCAACAGCGAAGAAGCTCAAGAATGGGGCCGACTTCCTTTTGGTGTGTCTAAAAAAATGTTGAACCTACAATTCAGGGCCATGTCGTTCTGAAACGCTCGTTTAACTTGCATGAAATTTTTAAATGTTACTATTCTAGGTTAGTAACAGCCAAGAACATCTCTGATGACTTTAGCTTCTTTCGTAGGAAGGCAAGCCTGGAACGTTTTTCGTAAGCAAAACATAACAAAGACGTATACCTTAAACTATTGCGGCAAGCTATACAATAAAAATCAACCCATTAAAACCTTCTCAGCGAAGCATAAACTACAGCTTTTAGGATGCTAATCTAACTGCTATTATATATCAACAGTCACTCAGTCTTCTGTTACACATGCGTAAATAGGCCGAGTAAAAAATATTAGCTTTTGTCTTACATGGCAGTTTATCTTCGACGAATATTTTCCTGTAAACGAAATACACACACCCTAGAAGAAAACATTTTCAGGGCTAGAGGCACACTCAAATCAAACAAATTGACATAATACAAGACTTTTTGTCTATAGAGACGTTGTAAGAATTGTGAAATAAGTAGGCGGAGGTGGGGCTATATAGGCTTAATCTCGCTTTGCGTAATCAGTGAAGACAACAGGTGCCACGGGAAAATATATAACAGTATATTCATCGAAGACTCCTCCATTATGTTGGTATGGAAATGGGTGTACTACAATACATTAATTTTCGAAGAAAATTGGAGACATCTATGTCGTTCGCTTATATACCCTACAACACCGGTTTATATTAGTCGAAGGCGGAATTATGTGTAGGTCACTAATGATTCTTGAGAAGTGAGTCACTTAACAAAGCTAAAGGGAAAACATTTTTTTTTGAAAAATAAGCTGTGATTACCATAAGTGATAAGTGATAATCATTTACTCTCAAAGATGTATAATGTGTATAATGTTCTGTTGTCGTCGGAAAACTCACGGGTTGCACTTTAACTGAAAACAAAGCAGGAACGGTAATAGTGTGGCCACTGACAAGCTGCCAAAAAATTCGCCAAAGCCAATTTGACCGGACTGAAATGTTGTATAACAATCGTGGTTACGCATGCTTCTTGTATAAATAAGTATCCATAAGAAATCCTAATTTATGATCGTTCGCAACGTAATGGACATGTCAACAATTTGTTTTGTTCGAACAATGCGTTATGTTAATAAAGCTGTTAATAAGTATTTCAAATGCAATCACCTGCGACGCGTTATTGACGACAACGACACGTGGTACATTTGGGTACGAGACTACGATACCTTATTTTTCATTGACTTACATACATATATATGCATTTCTATTAAGTTGAGTTATACTCTGGAGTCACTTTATACTGTCGATTGCTCTGTAAAATAAGTATCGACGGCGTCCGGTGAAATAGAGACTCGAAATGCGGCAGGCCAAATAGTCCCACCTCACCATGGTATATATAGCTTTTAAGGTAAACATGCATTACAACTCAATGTAATGACCTTTATAAAACATAACTTGCTTCCAGTTTGCCTTTAAAAATATAGATTTGAAACAGGTAAGATTGTGGTACAATAATGAAAAAAAGTACTAATAAAAAATACCTAGCTGTCTTCCATGGCTAGACTTCTTGCAACTTGCTCAAAAAAAATTCAGTGAAGCGAACTGCACGAAATCTCTCATTCGTGCGTACGTAAAAGATGTTTAGACTGATATTATTGAAATGTGAAATCAACGTTCCCTTGCCAGAAAAAAACGAAGCGATTCATGTAACTATCTCATACCACTGCATTGCCCAATAAGTAAATTTTAATCTCCTTGATTTTACTTTTAATTGTTATTGTTTATGAATCAGGGACAATAGGCAACGCTACCCCCAGAACAGTAAAGAATTAATCCGACAATCGTTGCTTATTTGAGAGTATCAACAGGACCGGTAACAGCGGATACTATTACAAATTAAATACCTGAGACGGTATGCCTCAGCGGCGAAAAGGACCCGCACCGTACACGTCTTCAGGTGGCACATAAGGGAATGCCCATTAGGAATGATGGAGACCAAAAGATATGGTGTATGCCAAAACCTCCGTCGCGGACCGAAACTGGGCTAGGTCCATGGTTCCGCTAAGCAGCGATGCTGAAGATATTTAGGGCTGCGATAGCAGGCCACTGTCATAAATGCCGGCGAAAAATAATGGACGTCTTGAATTAATGCCAAAGCTATTTCCAGTCTTCATCCCCAATCAAAGCTGCGTATTAGTTGTCAACCTCGTTAAAAGTCCAAAAAAAAGTATCTCATTGAGACTAGGAGACTATGTTATATTTTGATACAGTTTAAGGACAACCGGCTCATAAGTGGCTGTAAATCGAGGTAAATTAACTGAAATCAAAATGTAACTGACATTTTCGACCATTATAAACAGTGAAATCTACGTTGTTAAAGATAACAGCTCATGCAGACATCTTTCACTTATGAGTTGCTTTGAATGAATGAAGAGATAACCCGTTTGTTGCTGAAGAAATGCATACATCGGTTCTATTAGTTTTGCTCCCGAGTGGAAGATGAAACGTGGAAAATAAGGGAGAAAGTAGGAAGATACACAAACATCTTTACCGAAAAGAAAATATCCCAAAATACCAACACTATAGTAGTGTTTACAATTAACAATGTACACTAGATGTACAAAGGGCCCTGATAGATCAGCATAGAAAAGTATTGTACAAAGTGAAGAACATCTCACGAAGAAGAAGAACGAAGAGAATCAATAATTTTTTGATGATGAAGGAATTCAAACCAGCTCTGTCCAATGCAAAGGCAGGGCGAAGCAAGCAACAATTACAGAAAAAAGGAAGGCGTATGTTTCCTTTATCATAAATAACGGGTCAAACACTTGTTGTAATTAACAGACTTTATTTAAAACGGATCTCGGCGTAATTCAGTTTGAAAGTCCCCTGTGCTCAACCTGAACCGCTACGAATTTCCGCTGAAATCTTTTTATTTTTTATTCATGTTTATTTGTTTCATCGACACCCACGCCCCCGTTTTCTACACTAGGTGATTAGTGTACCCCTTCCAATTATCAATTTTTATTTTGTTGGTATTGGTTACATGTACAGAGTTCTAGCACCTTCTGTCGGGATTCGTCCTAAAGGCGACGTTTGAAGGACATTCCATCGTCATTAACAGTAATGTTATCGTCGTTATCGTATCAGTTGTCATAAAATGAAGAGGGGCGAGATCGTTTAATTTACATAAGCACACAGTCTTTTAGTAGCTGTGGATGTGGCGATCTACTTAACATCTGGTCACCACTATTTTTTCAATCCTCATCCATCTTTCTATAATTGTTGGTCCTCAATACATCGTACCCCCTAAATTATTTTGGGCTGGCTTTATTCCAGTCTACAAATTTATTTGTATCCTTTTGTCTATTTTTGGATATTTTCATGTATTGTCAGTATCTAGGAGAGTTCTGCATTAATCCACATACGCGATTCAACCCTAGTCCCACAATGTCTCGCCCTATGTACATCATATTATGATACATCTTTATCCTTATTATCATCATCATCGACATCATCATTTTCACCAGATTTACCGCAAGCATACGATGCCACCGTAATTCAGACCCCTTAGAACATTGAATTATCTGTCTTTGCCTCTTCGTATTTTCCTTTAGTCTCTTTATTTTGACCTCCCTCTTTCTTGTCGATGTCATAGTCACATTTTCTAGAGACGACCTAGTGACCACTATGAATCAAAGAGCATTCATGAGACAACTTGTTAATAATATTATACAACGATAGTAATAATGGTATTATTATCCTTCACTAGCGTTGTCGCCATTATTAATAAATGAATTATTTACCTTTTGTCTGGAGTCTGCGTACCCTGGATTACTCGACTGAGAACGAGATGAAACTTTTTTAACATCAATATCAGGTCAATCAACATCACTTTTAATTTGGGTTGGAGACTGAAATTTAGATTGAGGAAGATATTCGAACGGTTTCTACAAGAGATCGTTCATGTTGTCTTCATCATCACCTTAGCCGTCCACTTAGGTTCCCTCCTTTTCTGTGTAATATAACGTCAGACTACTGTTTCTTCATTCTTCAGTAATTGTTCGAGTTGTTTTGCATGCAACTCGATATATCAATTATTCAATTGTCATTATTGCCTCGGCTTAGTCTTGGCTTAAAGTGCAACGATTATTGAACCAACAACTAGATTGATATATGCATATATAGTTCTTCACGATGGTGTCGTCCCATGCATTACTATAATTAGTATTACTATATAAGTGCGTTGATTATCAGATGTGTATTGTTTGCTTACACGAAGATGCAACTACATTCAACTATACAATACAATCAATGCGGCGAAGCGGCCCCTTCAACGTATAGCCACTTTTTTCCACAATTTTCTGCTAGATAATTACGCATCAGCAAAATGTGTTACCTCTAATTTTCCGCTACCCTAATCTTCAGATGGAATTCGATCTGCCATTGCGTATTGTTTTTCTTTTTTTACTGGTTTACGGTGGTACAACCCAAAGGCTTGATAGTGTACGAGGGAAGAGACTGGTCTGTTATTATCAAACCAGTATAGGCATACGATGATTTCATTCAACTTTGCCTAATGTATTATTTGTTAAGCCTAGCTACTTTCCAGTGAGCGATATACATACTCCTATGAACTCTGGCATGTACACCTCAGTACTTTATTTTGTGCTTGACCCTTCTTATCATTGGGTTGGTTAACGACGACTACTACATGATGGAAATTTTTTGAGGTGGAAGCCTCGGACTTGTATCCCATTTTTGGATATTGGAAGCCCAGAAGTCACTTGTATTGTTCCTTTCTACACGCAGTATTTACCTTGATAACGGATAAATCTTAAGGTGCTCCCCATTTCAGCCCACTAAAACAATCCAACAATCAAATGGGCCCTGTCATTCTTGTTCAGGTGTCATAATCATCATCATCACCACCTGAGCAGGGAACTGCTGGCATCATCGAGTACCCACCAGCTCCGAACCCGAACGAACTGAATGGGCTGCCTGAATGAGGTGCGTAACTTGAATGACCTCCACTATTATTTGGTGCGGCGCCATGAGTTGGCGTCGGATGGTGGTGCTGCTGCTGTTGATGTAGTTGCTGCTGTTGGTGGTGGTGATGTTGATGCGGATGTTGAGAATTGTACGACGCTGTTGGATGGGATTGTCCGAGTTGATGTCCGTACTGATGAGGTGTATTGTGACCGCCATGATGAGCGGGATGTGAATTCTGATGATGAGTGCTCGACAGAAGTGAGTGAGCGCTGTGACTGCTGTTTTGATGAGCTGCAGGCGGATAATGTTGTTGCTGTTGCCAAAGATTATTACTGTGGTTTCCTGTCATGTTTGCATTCGAATGCATCGAGTACGGATGATTCATATGAGCACTGCCACCGACCACCGAGTGGAGCTGTTGTTGTTGCTGCTGTTGCTGCTGCTGACCCTGTGTTCCAAGTCCTGAACCCATTTGCTGTTGATGTGAGTATGGGTGCGTGTGACCTCCATTACTTCCCATAGCCCCAAGAACACTGTGAAGAGATTGTTGTTGAAACGAATTTGCTGATTGTTGTTGCTGCTGCGGCTGTTGGTGATGTTGCTGTTGCATTTGCTGCTGCGCTTGCTGTGGTTCGTCGCTTGGTGTTAATGGCGTCCTTCTCTTTTCTCTGAGATCTTCCCCACGCCCATTAGCAGCTGACTGTCCACCACGACCACGGCCTCTCCCACTGAAGCAGACACACCCACATAAATAAAATACGAGACCATTCAACAATAACCAGAATATTAAAAACTTTTTATTTTTAATTAAAATCTGTGTCGAGGATGTATATGGTAATGTAGCATAAAAAATGATAATATATCTTCGGTCTATTTTAAAATATCTTTAGGGGAGTCGATATTGGCTTAACTCGTAGCGAACTATCTTTGATTTGCCTGATTCGTATCCTAAAATTTGGCAGTGCTGAATGTCCTCACACAAGTAACTTGCAGGATTAAAGGTATTTAAGGAATTAAACGTTTTACGTTTAAAATACTAATAGCTCCAGCACTGGGCATTAATTTCTTATTAGTATGTAGAGCTATGCTGTTATAATTGTACGTAGAAACAATAGAGCGCATAATTATCAAGTACAGCCTACTACAGTAAAAACTCACCGTCCACGGCCTCTACCAGAAGGCACTGGCGCTGATCCCATTGATCCCAGAGGGCTCATTGGAAGACTTGGTCTCTGCTGAGGCAGAGGACTGCCGGTGCTCATTGAGTTCCCCATCGGAGATCCAGCAGGGCCTGGCATTGGTTGGCCTAACGTAGTGGACACTGAGCCACTTGACTCGCCTTCTTCTTCATACTGAACGTCCGGTATGTTAGCCACTGTGTCTCGAAGAAAATCGAGTCTAGAATCCGTCAGTATGCTGGCTTTGCTGCGCACAGAACCAATTTAAAACATCAAGCATTAGCGTTAGTACTATAAGTCACTATGAAGTTAAAAAACGCCACGAAATACGTTATCAACACACACTACTATTACTAGTATGGTAAACATTTTTGGGCTTTCAATTGTCTGTTATAGAATTGGCGATGCAGACTTACATAAAAACAACAAGAGCTTTAGCCTGCAGTATATATGTTAGTTATGTTGACAAAACGATGTCCAATAAGTAACACTGGAATACAAATTCTAGACCGGCAATTGATTTTGACCGAACAATACCACAGGAAAGGCCGAAACTACACAGCTAACACAACGATCTCGTATCTATTATTTATTCACATTTAGTAAATACGTTGCCCTGAAAACTCCAAAAGAAGTAGCATAATTTGCCCTCAATCAGAAGTTTCAGAATCGTTTCTGCTGCGCCTATGTTCGCAGCCTTTACTTCTTTTTCATAATAAGGATAAATATAACTGAGTAGTTAGTTTAAACACTTACATATGTGCCGTTGTGAGAGTTCTTGCGTTTCTGGATCGAGTCACAGCTTCCGCCTTTTTCACAAGCGACTCCACAAATAACTCGAGCGCCCGCGCTGCCAAAACATTGCAACGGTCCCAGAATTTAGTCAGTCGGTCAAAACATAAATAGGTCCTAAAATAGGTACATTCATATAGACAGCTCGTACTTGACTATTCGGGCAAAATTAAGCTGAGGTGGTACACATGTTTAGCCGAATTGCCTTAAGTTCGTATTCGTACGTACATAGAGATTTAACATAATACAGGCCATGCGCTCTCTTAAATAATAAACTGATTAATTGAACATTTCAGAAAGATACGACGTTATTAAAAAGAAAAAAATTGCAGTAATTTGTTAATCCTCTTAGGAAACTACGAACCGGCAGAAACCAAATTTTGGATTTTGATCTGACATTAACAGAATTTTGCTAATTGCTTATTTAGGGAAAAAAAATGACGCCCTTTAAAAAGAAACATATAGAGAAGCATACAGTAACATCTTCCGAACGCCGTAATCACTCATTTCATTATATATGATTATTTTGTAAATAAGACATATATTCATAAAAACCTTGAGTTAAACAATATATCTAAGAGCTATCAATAGGCGTCTACGGTGTCTAGTAAAAGTTACGGTCGTCAAATACAAATTAGTCCTCTCGTTTTTCCTTACATTATTTTGGTTTTTTGCTGCATGCCTGATATCATGGATGACCTCTTTTATAAACCTGATGTAGTCATAATATAATCAAAGGCACATATAAATCGTACAGCGTAGTCTATAGAAAAGAAACGCTTTGAATAAATATCGGTTTGTACCGTATTATAACTCTTTGGGCGATTATAAAGCGTAGTGTCACGCTTCCGCCCACTATGCTGCAGGGGCGAGGTATTTTCAAAAAAAAACTTCCGGAGATATTGCGTTGCTTATGCTGTACCTTAATTCACTTAAAGTAAGCGAGGCAAATCTGTGGAAAAATATTTGTGTTTAGATACAAAAGTAATGTACCTTAATAAAATTTATTATGATCTCAAAATTGATTAGCCTTCATTCCTACAGATTAGCATAATCGCAGCATTAAAATCCTCTTTCTTGCTGGTATCGTTACAATGTCCTCGATTTCAAAACCAGGTTTCAACCTAATGCTTAATTAGAGTATACTAAATGTGTCGTGCTTATGGTATTACAATTTAGCTCAAAAGTAATGCAATTGTAAATACGCAGACTAACAAGCAGTGTCAATTTCCGACATGGAAATAGCGTAATAGTGCTTCAATATCCGAACTCAGCGATATGAACACTTTCACACATTATAGCCAATCCCGAACGTCTATAAATAAAAACTTAATTAATGTTATTAATATTACGAAGTTCTTGTCCTTAATATTCGTTTTCGATTACCGATTATTACTACTGTAAGTTTCAACGTTACTATAATGCTGCCCCTATTTATATTTGTCAAACAAAAGATCATCACCCAGAAACGTTAGATATCTGCACTTCGAACTTGTTTTGCTCCCTGAATTCAAATTGATGCTGCAAAATGATACTTCATCGGTTAGTTAATAGGATAACGACTAGATATGTTTTATACGCAGTTGAAATTTGTCTCCCCTCATGAATCAATGGTTTAACAGTTCCCTTCAACCGAGCCTGTTGTTGTCTCGATTATATGATGCCTATAAAATGTGTTACATAAATGAACTATGTATGCAAATTATCGAAAAAAATAATGCATGTATATCTGCGTATCAGAAGAAAATGTTCAGCTTTTTCGGAATGATGATGTCAGATGATCAAACGACTTCCATTATGATCCCGGTCTGCGTTGTTAGAAACCTGACAAGTTTCTATTTACAGTGTCATTTATTCTACTTTCATCTGCATCATTTATTATATTTTAAACAAGTGAAAAAAAATCTACCATTTCGTTGCATTGTTACTTACAGATGATCACTGGGACAGCGGCGGCAACTTTTCCGATATCCTCATCCTTCTGCATTATCTTCTTAATTCGTGCCTGCAATATTTATCAACAGAGACAAAAACACAGACACAACAAAACCGCGCTAACGCATTAGTTTAGTTATCAACTAAACAGTATATATATATATATATATATATATATATATATATATATATATATATGTGTGTGTGTGTGTATGTGTGTGGTGTGTGTGCGTACGCCTAACGTGACAGGTTATATTAGTTTTTTGATTCATACACACGTTTCGTTTACGTTCCTAAACAGATAGCAAATGACTGCGTAAATAATAAGACGCTGGTTGGTATTATAGAGCCGCTGGGGAAGCAATAGTAAACTATGAGATCGGACCTATATTGAACGATCAGTAAAATTCTGTTAATGAAGCGGGAGGCCTCATCGTTGGCAGCATGAAGGGAAGCGCCAGACGGATGTGCAGACGGTCGAAATAACGAACATATATCGCAACTTGCGCCAAACTTGACGGTAACTACCCACGCTTCGTATCCATGTTCTACTTATCAGCAATTTTAATACAAGCCATTCTACTGTTTTATTTATTATTGTGGTTAGTTTTATTACATAAAATCAAATTGAGCAGTGTAGAGCATAGTTGCGAGCAACACAGGCACTTCAATGGGGCTGACGAAGCTTCGTCTAGCATTCGACCTACCGGCGCAAAACGGGCATTATACTTCTTTCTTTTGTTGGCCATCTTGACAGTGGAGGGCGCGGAGCCCAGCGATCTGCTATCCAACCACTGATAAAGACCACAAAGATGCCCCCACAAAGTCTCACAAAACAAAAGGCAATGCTGCCGCCCTCACAAAACCAGAAGCACGCACAACACAATAATAACACCAAATCTACTAACAACACAGCAGCAACGAGTAGCACCACTGACTCCGCCACAAGCAGCAGCAGTAGCAGTCATCATGTCCAACAACGCCGCTACAACTGCAGTAAGGCCGCCAGTCAGCCAGCTCCCCCAAACCACCATCAGATTCGCCACCATTACCAAACGCCATGTAAACAAACAGACTGTCCGTCGTTTAACAAATGCACGGACACTCGCTGACAACGACCGTGAAACACCGCCTGGCCCCACAATATACTTTATGGAAGGCGTGAAAACGCCGGTTTTGGTTCCGTTCAATCCGTGCGTGACATGTGTGTTTATAGAGCATCGTCTGTCTGTCTTTCGGGCTGTATGCGCGCTTTTGTCTTGTCTTGTTCCGCTTCGTGTGTTAACGGCCATCCGAACTGTGCTGAAACTGATTGTGAAATTTGAGCTAAAGAGTTCTAACCATCTAAATATAAAATGTCGTAAGCATTTTCTTTTATTATCTCATAATCGTTTTTTGGTTGATTTAGTACTTTTACGCACAATGCAAAGGTTCTAATACGTGTATAGCAAAGACCGTTCGGCAACGCCGTTCACACCGACACTTAATAGCTACTATAGACTGTGATATGTAGAGGTGATCTAGGTTCGAAGCAAGGTGTAAACATATTTGTTTTGTGTTGGAAGCGGCCAGACAGCGGAAATAAGTACTTAATAGCAATACATAAAACTCGCAGCTGCTATAAAGCAGGAGACAAAATATGTGTTTGTCGCAGGTGTTTTTTTAAGCATATTCTCATAGAATTGAATACGTGTTTAAAAAAAAATATCACATGCCAATGATGTAATATGGTCCATATTCAGTCATGTCCCTATCTGTGTCCGAATCAAACATGCTATTCACAGTTCTATTAATTTATTATTATAGTTCTATTTATTATTGTTATTTATTATTATAGTTCTATTAATCTTAGCCTATAGCATTAGATGACAATTACTAAAGAGATACGTTTTTAAGATCTAACCAGATGTTTCCAGTATGTTGTGATAAGCCGAATCAGAAATACTTCTGTTTGATTCTCAACGGCATTCTTTAGGAAGGTTCCGTACTTAAAAAGTAACCCATAGGTCATCCATTCCCGATGTGTTGATGTCGAACTGTGTCTAGTAGATGACACCAATTTATCGAAAATGTGAATCATAATTCTATTATCATTGAGTTTTAGCAAGCGAAAAAATAAAAAACAATTGTCAATAACTTTTTTACAGAAATCTGGCGTAATTACTCATATTGAATTTCAGATTTATTCTGCAGGATCTTCAATCGTAGGACGTTTTTAAAAGAACCCACAAGAAAAATCCCGACAACCTTAAGTCGAACGTTTGGGTACTGGTACAACGTAGGAGGTTATGCGTTTACCAAACTACTCCTTTAATAACCTCAACGTTTTGAATATTTAATGACGGTCGGCAGACGCTTAGGCCATAATTTTTTTTTTAATATGTCTTTGTGATGAGAACTAGTTACAGCTAAGCAAAAAAAAAGAACAATCCGATGACACCTTCTACCGAGGATCTGTACTATACGATAACTTCACCTCCACAAAATGATTGTCCATAAATGTGTATATACTGATACAGTCGGATAGAGATGCGAATCACCTGAGAAGATAAGTTTCTTTCTTGTTATGTCTAATCTCGCAGAAAACATAAGACGCTTTGTATGCTCTGTTGGCATAGGTTAACTGAATATTATAGGACCAAATACAAAAATGTTCGTACCACAGGCGTAACTGCTGAAATCGGCTAGAAGTTATGATGCTCGAATTATTTAATATGTTCTGATGGACTTTATAATGCAGACCCTCTATGAGTATAAAAATATAAACCTATATTGAACCTTTGCACAAAATTGCGCAAAAAGGTTTCGTAAGGTACAGCATAAAATATCGCCGTAAACAATAGACACTGGAATAAACTTGAAGGAATGGTCAATTACTATTCAATCAATAATTTTGACCAACTTAAGTCGTTAACAAAATGACGTTCTCTGCCGGGTCCTACGGAAACTATCTTACCTGCTTTCCTGATTTAGTTAAATGCAAAAAATTTAATAAATTTATATTATACATTACATAATTAAAGCATAGGGAATGGGGGACCCTGTAAAATATTACTTGCAAGGGAAGTTACTTGTGAACGGTCAGTTCTGATATACTAAGTCGGTTGTGAGGAAGAGTAATATTATTTTTGGCTTAACTGTGCTCGGCAGTGAAGATGAAGACGATGTGAGAATGCTATCTCCCGAGGTGATGAAAGCGCTGCAAGAATTTTACACCGAACGAGAAGAACAATCGATTGAAGAGAACTGGGTATGCGTCTCTTGTTACTTAGAGATATATAATACTGCTTCATTTTGTACAGTATTTTAGATTATTTCTATTTATGAGGGTTCAATTTTCTAACAGTCGTTTGAGGACCCACCCCATATGTTATTATTGCTACTATTCATTTAATGGAATTTGTTTTTTTTAAAGCAACTAAGTCAATTCTGGTATACACCAGAAACGGCTGAACGTTTAGCAAACATTGCACGTTCCCAAGGATCGCAGATATGCTGTCTATCGACGCCAACTGCATTTCAAGCACTGTACTGTACTAGAAAAGACGGAGAGAAATTGGTACTACTTGAGTTCGACAAAAGGTACAATATTTACGTAACATTTAACCATTATCTGATCGGTAGATTAATACCTAGGGCATAGTTAGTAATACCGTAATTAAAATAATACAAGTTAATACGCAGTTTATATTGTATGTAAAGTTCATTTGTTCTGTTACATGGTTTGCCTACTGTCGCTGATTTTTACTGAATCCTCATCATACCCAAAAGTAGCACTAATCGTACGGAGGATAGGGCGCATTGGATTAGAAGTATGACGGCCTGGGTGCTCTTCTCAGATAAGACTTTAAAAAATGTTATAATATTTGGGTTCTTTGTACCACTACATGATGTTTAATTAAAGTGGTTGTACCTCCGTAGTATGTTTAACTCAGTTTTTTTAGAGAACGGAGCATTTTGGCTCAATTGGCTTATTGGCGATGGAAGCTATTCCCCTTTTTCTAAATGTTGGACTCTTTGCTAACCTTGAGGTACATTTGGGTACGCCGCTTTATGTTTTTAATAACCACATATTATAGTACAAGCGATATTTGCGTATACCATTTAGGACTATTGCTGGCTGTCAAAAATACGTAAAATCGGTGCAAATTTTGCGATTTTGCTTGGACCTTTATTTCTTATAAACTAGAAATCTTTTTTCATCTTACTTAAGAATTCACGAGCATGATACAAAACAGAACTTTCTAAGCAGTTTATGAAGATAACTCCAACGTTTGAAAAACTCTGTGGCTGTCTTTGTATAGAGTGCGCCAAAAGTTCGTATTCAATGTTAGTGCCCGTAGAAGAAGAAATACAACTTGAATTTCTGTAGAAGTATTTATTTCAACAATAGCAAAGCTTAGGTTTTTAGTTTGCACTGCATGTGGAAAATATTGTCGGCCAAATGTCCTACCACGGACCATTTGCATGACTCTATACCTTTCGCATAATTCAGATCGCTGTTCGGTATAGTTTAATATCAATTCTTTTTATCAATTCGATTGACTAAATTCGGGATTTAGGTCGTGAATATTTTTCAGCATTGTTTAATAGACATCTTTACATAGTTCCATGCGAAAAAATCGGAAGAAGTTGTATTGCATATCCCCGTCGGCTGTCGATGTAATTGCCGTGCCTTGAGACCAGCCAACATCTGAATACGACTACAAATAGATCGATTGTTTCCGCGCAGTGCGGCAAGTTGTCCCACCTTGTCGAAACCAAAGTTATTTCCATCCAATACATACAGCTTTGGTCTACCGAAAAATTGCCGAGTTGTTGAAGTCGCTGGATCTGCGGCTGGACACGGCACAATACTGCAACGACCATGTTTGTCCGGTTTGTGCTGTCGTCGATTCCACTTTCCAGTACAACACTTAAGGGATCTCACTATAATCGATTCCCCATTGTGATGTTTTTATGAAATACATACGCTATTTCAAACTGTAGCTTTGCATCGTTGCAAACCGCAAACGCTTCTGTGTTGGTTATTAACAGAGGTGGAAAGGAACGAGGCGAAACAAGGTATCTTTGGCGCACCCCAGAATTATCGAATTCAATGACCTGCGACACTTGACAACTGTAACTTACTAACAAGATTATTCAGCCAATCCAAGTAGTTTCAGCTGTTGAATGTCCGACGAAATCCAGTGTCTACAAGTAGCAGGCCCATGTTCAATTTATTGAAGAAAATCGAATGCAGAGGATGTACAGGACGTTCAAAAGGTGACGAAGATCAATGGAAGGTTCATTAAGGTTAAACGCTTTCTAATGAAAATTTCCGTACATGTTTTTCGTTTTATAATTGTTGAGTCAGTTAAAAAATGAGCTGATTAATAATATGAAGTTGAAATTGTCAGGTTTCACGATCTGTACAACAATGATTTCGTATTCTACGATTATAATGACCCCTTGGCTATTCCGGATACACTAAAGGGCGCATTTGACGTCGTCATAGCAGATCCTCCTTTCCTGGCCGAAGAATGTTTGGAGAAAGTTACTAAAACCATCCGCTTTCTCACTAAGAAGAGCATTGTGTTATGTACAGGTAAGTTAGTCTTTGTAGATATAAAGGAATTTATATATTTATTTTGTTAATCCGTTTATAATTGTTTTCAATAACAGAGCAGGCCTGCTCCTGCAATTTGTCTCCGACTGCTACTTATTGATGGTTCGCTTGCCTTAACCGCTTGACCTTAAATTCTATCGATTAGCATTAGTGTCGACAATAGTATCGATTAGTGTTAACAACTTTTTCGATTAGTGATTTCGTTCACTTTTTTGAAATTTGATATACCGAACTAAACTTGATCGTGTACTTTTAGTTTAAATCACGTGTCTGTTACAGCACCTGCACTAACTACATAATTATAAGATAGATCGTCCAGAACCCAAGAAAAACTGATTGACTTTTTGAATTTCAGGAGTCGTAATGAAAACACTAGTAGAAAGCTTATTAAAGCTTAGGGAAACATCGTACAAGCCACAACATGCGCGCAAATTGGGAAACGACTTTGGATGCTTCACAAATTTCGATATCAACTTGTGATATGTATACTAATGTTTTTCGGATTGATTTTTTTCTTAAAATAGTTTTAGGACCTGTATAATAAAAAGATTGATTTATAGATTGATTGGTTTACCAAACCTTACTACAATTGTACTGAAAACTTAGCCAAATAAAACTCACTACCGAAATTGCATTCAAAAGGCGAGTTCCTTAGAGATCTGAGATATTAGAGGAACAGTACATTTTTCCACAAGCTATTTAGGTACGTTTTTGAGGCGCATAAGGAATTTGTTCACAAATAATATCTTTTCAACTACGACCTTTCAAGTACACTTTCCTTTCGTTTTGCTGGTTATGGAAACCATTTTTTCTTCATATTACCGACCTCTCTCTTCTCGGTTTCCACCATCCAACAAAACATCCAACCGAGTAATGGCAAGCAAAATAATTAGTTACTACACATCTTGCCGCTGATTTTCTCTTGTTTTTATACGAAACATTTTTTCATGTTTATGGTAGTTGGGTATGTTTGCCCGCCCACAATGCAGATAATTTTGAAGCTTAGAAACACATTTGACGGCGGCCGTTATATGAAGTACTTCGTTTCTGGCCGAAGAGTGTCAGGACAATTTGCTGCTTTATCACTAAGAGAAGCATTATGCTATATACAGGTTAGTCATTTCCTACTGACATAAATAAATGTACATGTTTTATTAATTACTCCAGTTACAACTGGCTTCGCCATTATAACAGTTTAATTCATTTTTTTTTAGAAGAAAGACTACCAATTTCTTTTTGACATCAACTTAATAGCAGCAAATTGCCACAGGTATAACAGTATCTAGAGTTAGAACTATTTTCTCGTGCCGGTGAGTGATATTTTCAATTGCGCTTTTAACCTGGTAGAAGATGTTGAAAATACATAATAAGGAACGTGAATGATTTTAAACCGATGTCAATGTCTTAACCGAAACATGGCTTGCTTTCTCTAATAGATGATATCACAGCGTACTTGCTTGTAGTAATGCCATTTTACGCTTGTCACAAAATCGTTGTGTTAATGTACTTTTTCCCATTTAGATAATGTAGACAGTATTACACAAGTAAGCAAACGTTCTAATCTATCGTTCAAAATCTGGATTTAGTATATCATTCGTATTTCTTTAATAACCTTTATATCATAAAATACTGGCTATGCTGTATTAAAAGTATCACAAAAACTTCTAGAGTTTTTCATCACTTCAACAGTTTCACAAAATTACACATAGCAAATAATTAATGGCAAACTGCAAGGCGAGAGAAGCTACGACGGGTTGCCTAAAAATTCTTGGGCTTAATGTACCGTACAAAATATGCATGCAATGCGTTCCATTGAGGCGTATCAAGTAGAACATGCTTCCGTTTACTTTGCATTAAGCGAAAACATTCTTCTGGAGTATAACCACGACGTTCCATAAGGTAACACCCAACGAGCGTCGCACTGCGTGTTCTTCCTGCCTTGCAGTGTACATAGACGGATCCATTGGGATTTGATTGACGTATTTTCTTAATGAAGTCAACTCCATCTCGAAGTTTGTCTCCATCCGGTGCCGCAAAAATATCCTGTGTTGGCAATTGGAGAAACGTTACTCCAAGCTTATTCCACCCTTCAGCGCCTGGAGTGAACCATCTGTGAATGAAATATAGACAATATTTGTTATAATCTCACTTTTGACTGAAAAATTGTACGTTCCTGGTTATCATGAACACCCGACTATTTATTTGCTCACTGAATTCCAAAATAATAATAATAAGTATTAAGACTGACGAAGTACTAGTTTACGGTTGATAGAAGGTAACTTAAAAAAGGAATGCTCAAGCTGAAATTGATTTGCTTTTTCTATATGTTGAAATTCTAATAATTTGACCTTTTTCGACTAACAGTATCTTCAGATTTTCCACAGCTACATTCACTGTTTGGCGTATGCATAGCAAAAGTATTACTCTTATTTTCTCGTTATTGTAAAGGAACCCAGTACATTTTTCATTTCAATTTTTCTTATTTTGTTAATGTCCCGTTTTCAAATCTTAGAAGAGCCTGCACCAGACACATTCACAATGAAATTAGTTAATCCTTTAAGTTGTATTAATGTAGAATAATTTTTTTCAAAGGCACAATTTTTTACTAAGCGAGAAAAGCGGGTAGTAGTATTTGTTGCAGGAAAAAATCAGACGGCACTAACTTGAGTTCGAAGTCTTTGTTCATGCTAACTACACCCTTGACATTTTCAGTTTCAACAAGCTGCTTAGTCACGGATGGAAATGGCAAAGCCCCGAGAATTACTGTGTCATCGATGCGATCATACCTGAAATACTGAGTGACTTAGATCTCATTGCGACTCTGTTTACCCTATCTACTTTACTTACCTTCACAATTTTCGGCCGGCTCTCAGACTGGTCACGGAGTAGAGATCAATCATTCACTTGCAGTTTTCCATCTGACTCCTTTGTTTATGCAAAGTCCTTATCAAAAATCTAACAAATAGTCGAAGTAAATAAAGAAGAAGAAGATAGAGTATGACGTTGTTTAAAGATGGCTTACCATCGCCGATTCGTGAATTTTGCCATAATAATGTTGTATGCAAGCGAAGGGTAGAAAATAAACTGAGCGAAATAACGGTGTTTGGTGATGCGCTCTGGCAAAAGCCATTGTATAGCAATTACGGCCGTTCGCATTTCTTTCTAGTGGAACTCCAACGCTACTTAGACAGTACTCACTTCACAAACTGATTCAGACATATTGCATCTTCTCCTAAAAAACGAATCAAAAAACAAAATTTACAAATAAATGCTCAGCAAGTTGGTGAGATCGGTCTCTTTTTGTGTCAAAATGTAAAGATTATAGCACGTCATATTGCGTTCTCATCAAATTTTTTTTCTTGACATTATATCAGAATAACGGCTTTTAGGAGATAATATTCTAAACCAACAGCAGACAACAATCTCAAACAACCAGTCACCATCCAAGAAATTAGTCATACGTGTTATTAGGTGGCCTAATACTTCGGTCATGTATTTCGTTTTGAATGATATTCACAATTTACGCACGCAGACGAATTGACAGGTTCACCAATAGGATAATCTCATATATTTCTAGTGAATAAAAATTAATGATACTTTTTTTAAAAAATGTAAACTGTTTTCTATTCACAAAAAAAAAAACAAAATTTGTCTGCTATTACAGCAAGCAGCAGAAGAGCCAAAAACTACTGTCGTTTGTAATAGCACTGACAGTTGAGCCAAAATTAAGCTATGATAACTAATTAATTAAGGAGAAAATATTACAATATGATATGGTAATACATATTTGTCGTAGAAATGAACGATTGCCGACAATAATGGAGAAGTGCCGCAGCTGATAAAAAAAATTTCAAAAAGGAAAACGGCATTTTTTTTGTCTTAGGTCTGACATTTAATTGTCAGAGGGCTTTTTACTTCGATAAATTAGAATGCATATTATTATATAAGCGCCGTTACTCAAGTATAAAATCGGATGTCAACTATATATAATAACGGAAAAAATAATCCTCACTCTTATTTGGTCTATAATTTTATGTATATTAATTACACATGCATTGGACAGTTGCCAGTAATACAACTTACGTCTAGAAGAAAATGCTTTCGGCCATCGGGAGGCTTGCTTTTAAAATAATAACATCAAGGCCGATTTTAATCACTTTACTAACTCTAAACTCTAACTAAGACATTGCGGCCTGCTTTAATTAATAAACTAGAGCAGGCCGCAATCTTTTTCAAATTCTTAAATTGAGAAGAAGCTAAGTTGTCCAGGGAGTCTGTTTTAATCATTTTCAGGGTCTATTCAATATCAAAACTACTTTGAATGTATTGCGATCTCAGTTATAACAGATATTTCATGAAAATCATTTATATATATACATATATATATGCACAGTTCAGAGGCTAATGTCACGTATCGTCTAAGAAAGGATGCTGCTACGAAAGAATGCATGTTGTTATACAGCGTGAAACGTGTACTTAGCGGTGGTCCTGCAGTCCTTACGTTTAGCACCCCTGTAAGGTACCTCTTTGCACTGAAATTTAAATTCTATGCTTAACCATTTACTTTATGTTGCTGTTTTATATGGTAAACACGTAAAACGTATAATTCTACTCTTACACATACCTGAAATTTCTTGATGTAGGTACTGATAGAACAACATCAATTCATTAACCGCGGTTGATAAAATCCGCAGCACTTTTTAAATTCGTTTGCTTTACAAGAATTATTTTTATTTTTGAGCGGGATGGACTGTTGGTCTGATTCAGATCGGCAGTAAATAAAGTTGATCAAATTTTAGGAATATTATAAAATCAGCTTTTCATACTGAAACAGGTTGGACTGAATTAGACCAGAAGGTTAGTTTTGACTAACAGAGTCTATAATGTGTGCGACAATAAACTTAAGGCAGAACTGCAGTCACCTTATCTAAATCATTTTAAACAAGTTGAACTCGCAGTACTTTAAGCTCTTAGTAAAGAAACGTGTTACAAGGCAGGAACTGGCTATTCCAATTCGAACATCATACGGCACAATACCAGATGGCGCTTCTTCTCCAGAAACTTTGTCAGGTTTAACCGTTTTGCGCGCAAATATTTCAAGCGCACCACAGGGTGCCACGACTCCCAAAGGATGACGTCACAAACTAGGACGCATCTTGTAGTTTTATGCGATACTGCTATATTTCCTAGAAACATATACCCTTTAGCGTTTTTTGGATGCAAACATATAATCATACTAAGTGTGCAGGTAAAACTACTTATTTTTTTTCCTATACAAACATCCTGCAATTACTGTACTGGATGAGTAAGTGTTTTTAAGTTATAAAAAGAAAGACATTTTGTAAATATGATAAATATGTATCAAAATTACTGATATTTTAGATTGGAGTGCTTGAAATATCTGCCCCTGAGGTATTTAGTTTGATCCCACAGCAGTTTATCCAGGCGAGAAACTGCGCGCAAATGGTAAAAATATCACCACAGATCGCGCCACCTTTCCCAAAAAGTGCCACATATTCGGCGGATGCCGCTGAAACGGCGGTTGCCATTGGCGCCTAGCTAGCGCTACTCTGGCCACCCTGTTGTTGTAGACTTGGCCAAATTGTGTGTTTTGCTGGTGAAAGTTAGAATTTTAACGAGATTTTCTAGAAGTGCCGGTGTTTGGTGCCCTTCTGTGATGTCGGTCAGTTAGATTAGAGTGTAGCTCATCGGTGTGCACAGAGCTTCGGGTCGGAAGAAACCCTCAGAAAGCAGCACACGACTGAACAAGGATTCACTCAGGATGCCAATACTGAACAAAGAGGAGTTTGAAAGGAGTCCCCCTCCGGACGACCTTAAGCCAGACGACCCAGTGTTCTACAATAAGCTTACTAACGAAGTGTTCACGGACTACGAGTAAGTATAGGACATTTTGACTTTACGAATTGAAAGAGCAATCGCCCTTTGACCACTCCAGTGATCGTTAGCCGGCATTCGCGGATTTTTGTCCTTTTCGCGTGCATATTCGTTGCTACGCCTAATTAGCACCTGCATTGCAGTCTTTAGCTGCGCTTTGGGCCATGTTTTACAGCCATAGATTATTCTATAGGATCCAAGCGACACGATAGCTGCGTCATAGAAGACATCGTTTTACCACCACTTTCGTTCACCGACGAAGGTTGGGTCGAATCCCCCCCCCCCCCAGCGTTTTGCAGTCCCGCTGTATATCTATAGAGTTTCTAGATGGTTGTGTGTCAGTGCATGTATGGGTCATATATATGTGTGACTGTTCCTGTGTATACGGTAATGGCGGGCAGATGTCGCAGAAACGCAAGAGGTGTTTAATGATGGGACTGAAGTGACACCTAACCAAAGACGGCACCATCATGCCTGCCCTGCCTTGTCATCCTTCTTTCAGGGTAAAGGCTCTGTTTAAGAAAAGACTCAATGGTCTTATGTTGGCATTACTGTCGCCTTGCGTCTGAGCGATCAATGGTCATGAAAATGAGGCAAGTGTTCTAACCGGTCTATCAAAATTGTCGCGGCAGCTCTTCAGTACGACGTTATTGATCTGTGAGCTGTCTTAAAGCACTTTTAATTCGTGGTGACTGCCATTAGGCAACTAGGCAAGGTAGACTTAATTTAGATCTAGCAGTATCATAACCTATCCGTTTTTTGTTTATAGAAAACTTGATATGTAGTTGCATAGATTTATATATGACGTTCTCATTCTACTTAATATGGAATCCTTATGCGTCAACACTTATCCAATTCAACATGAAATCATTAATGTTACACCATACATTTAATTATAACAATTTGATTATTGATGACAATATCTCGTACCGGAACATTGCTTTTTTCTTTCTTTAGCGACTACTTTGCGCGGGTCATCTTGTGCAATTCGCTGGTATGGACGTGTTCACTGACCGGCAAGTCAGGTTTGACGTTTCAGGATGCGCAGGAAAGCGAGGAGGCTGCTCGTCAGTGGGTGCGAGTTTTTCCTCGCGTCCTGCGCAGGCCCGCGTTATTCGTCACAGACCTCACAAGCCGTGGCAGGTTAGCGGACCTCGTTGATGACGTCTTCAACTTTGTAAAAGATCGTTTCTTTGTCGGTGAAGAGTTGGACTATGTTTATAATAATAAAAGGTATGTAAACAGAGCAACTACATCCAGTACCCAGTCAAGTACAAATTTTATTTACTTTTCGATCTCATACTTTTTTTGTACATATAGTGCATTCCGTGACTTGTAATAATACACTTTTTATTAATTCTGTCTACATTTGATATATTCTACGCTAAAAACTGAAGGATTCTGACACCAAATGCCATAAATCCGTGTGCCTTAGGTTATGTTTTCATTCCAGTAGTGACTGAGAATGCCCTTACTGATTCTTGCTTCTTTTTGTGCCAGTGCGACGTAAGAAAAGCTCTATTGTATTTTCTTGTGTTATACGGATTACCTGTGTCTTAAAAGTGAATCGATGTTAAGAATAGCTGTTATCTTTAACGCTGACACACAATTTTTACTTCTTAAATATAAATTGGCTCTTAACCAGGTGAATTAAAAAATATAATTTTTTAAATAAAAAGAGGATGAAGTGAAATATAAGTCAGTTGGATATGTGGTTAAAATAAGCGGTTATTTGCTTCATTTGACAGGAAGGGGGGCAAGATACTGCGCATTCACCCATTCACGGCAGTCCCAAAAGAACAGAAAACGGATTCTTCTAACAAAGAAAAAAACAAGAAAAAGGATTCGTCAGATTTATTAAAAGTTGTATACGATATTGAAGATGAGGACAGCGGCCAAAAATTTGAAGTTCTCGGAAAAGACCTTTATAGGCATAAGAAAACTTTCACCAGAGATCGTCTTAAGGTGTTTCTCAAACTGGCAACTGAAATGCGTAATAATGTGCTTAGAGTTAAAGCTCCCATAGCAGAAAAATATAAGATTAGCGAGGTTAAATTTCACGATATAACTGTTGGCCAGTTGCCTGAATTCGTGGTGAGTCCGCTGAAGAGAGTCAGTAAACCGGTTCCTCCCAAAAAGCTGCAGAAAGTGAAAGAAGGAAAGGTCAAGGAGAAAACGAACAGTAAGTACAGATAGCTTGAACAATGGTCATCGCGTACCTTCAGATTTCTGTATCACATGTTATAGACGTTTGTTACCTATGACATCCAGATTAAATATTTCTAATAAGAAAAGCCAAGCATACAAATAATTTGCGCGGATATCCCTTCAGAATTTGCAGCTTGGATAGCGCGCATCGCAGTGCGTGCGATACAATCTTATTTAAAACATAAATTCTGAAATTTTTTATAAAAGTCATTCTGCATAATTGTGAATAAGAAGTGATGACTTGAATAACCGGCAATATTATGCATATCCAATTGTAAGGCATATAATGGAACACCATTAATTTCTTTAATTTCAGAGGAAAGCAATAAGGAGAATAAGGTCGATAGCACTAAAGTTCCAAAAAAGTCGAAAAAGAAGCCAGACGATACTCCTAAATCTGATGCGACTAAAAAAGAGAAAATATCTCAGAAAAAAGACGCCGAGGACAAGTTGCTGCGCACAATGTTCATGGTCGAGTGGTCAAAGCCTCGGGACGATCTTTCGGTTGACGGTCTTCGTGATCTCCCAGTTGCCACTTCCTTTGACTGCCGCATTCCCCAAGAAGCACTTTCAGATGCTTTCCTTGTCTTGGAATTCTTCTCTGCGTTCACACAAGAATTGGGTGTCAAGGACTATTTCTTGTCCGGCCTCACGTTTGACATTTTGGAAAGAGCCGTGACCGAAACCGACATTATAGGTCCATTGGGTGATATATTCCAGATCTTGCTCACCAATCTCTTTAAGCTGAAAGAAGCAGAAAGCCAATTCAATTACAGCTATACAACCCCTTCAGATGATCAGCCAGAGGCAATTTATCAAGCGCAAAAGGCGGCGGGCCGAACAATGCGTCAGATTCGAAAAGTGCTGGGTTTCTCGTTACCGCAATTAACCCTAGACAAGTTCACCTTATCGGAAGTGTTACGATTGCATATTGAGTCAAGCGGAGCACCAGGTGTCACGAAGAAGGCAGGTAGCATGGATGCCGCTGAAGATCCAGGTCTAGCTTTTTCTATAAATAACCCCCATATCGTAGATGTGCTAAGGAGATGCAGTATATTTGAGCTGGAAATTGCTGACAAGCTTAAACTGCTTAGAGTTATCGTGGAACAACTACTCTGCACGGATGGGGTGAGGGATATGATTGAGGAAGCCGTCGATGCCCACAAGGCTGCCCGTATTGAGTTGAGGAAGCTACGTATACTTGCCAGGCCAGGTTCGGGGCCAGACGACAGACCGCAGGTTTCCCCACGCGAATTTGATAGAAGAGAACAAGAACTAAAACAGAAGCTCAGAAGTGCTCAAGAAAAAATCATGATGGCACCTTTAGGTGAAGATCGTGCGTTCCGTAGGTATTATCTCGCATATTCTATTCCGGCCGTAATTATAGAAGACGACGTAGTTAATATTGGCGAGGAATGCATTGCCGGTGGAACGCCAAAGCAGAAGATGACGAATCATTCGCCAGCTTTCATGAAGCAATTTCTCCAAAATTATGGGAAAGATAACGTGTCACTCTCCATGCTAACTGCCCTCAAGGAGGTTACCAATAGCAGTCCTGAGAAATTATCTAGAGAGGAACATTCTCGTTTGACATGCACAGGAGATCAACAAACTTGCTTGGTCCATAATAGAAATCTGTCAAGGGATACGTGGCGATTTGTCTCAACTAGGGAACAGTTGGACGAAATTATCGCTTCTCTTGACGTGCGCGGTGTTCGGGAGAAGGCACTCAAGATAGCGCTAAACGCCGACATAGAAAATCTGCGATCGGCCATTGATAGAACACCGTTGTTTGTGCTCAACAGAAACTTTGAGAACTCTCGTAAGACAAAGCTGCCTTCACAGTTTATAAGGGACAGTGGCCTGCATGATGTGAAACCAAGCTTTGCCTTGGAACTAAGTTTCCGCGAAATTCTCCTAGGTCTTGAGGAGCGAATCACAGCGGGAAATTTAGGCTACCTTAAAAAAGACAGAAATTTATGGCGAAACAGAATGATTGAAATTCTTGATGCTGTCGGAGAGAAAAAGACTGCTGCAGAGATCAACGCGCTCCAATCAAAGGCTCCAATGTCCGAAGTTATCGATGAACTATGTGATGCTTTGATTGCTCTTGGACATTCGGTTGAAAAGAAGGTTCTAATGGCGCCCTTAGGGGAAGCGGAGCCGCCAAGTAAAGTAAAGAAAAAGAAAGAGGGACCAGATGGGCTCCCTTCTATCAAAGGAAACATTGCAACCTGGATTCGCGAAATGAAACCAAATGCGGTGCCAGAAGTCAACGGTGTCCATAAAAAGGTAAGATGAAGAAATTCTAGGAAATATCTAAAACCGTTCCATCCTTTTTAATAATCTGAGCAATTACGTTTAACTTTTAAATCTTAGCAAGTTGCCATGTTAGGAAGTTCTGAATCGAATTTCCGCTTTGGGATCTTTTCACTGCTCCTGTTTTTGAGAAATGGCAATGCTTTCTTTCTCATATGGTGTATTATGAGTGGGTGTGATGCTTTGCTGAAATTACGCGTATATAATGTCATTTTAGAAGGACAACATCACTGGCTTAGCGGATTTTGCTGATTCCGACTCGAAAGATGAGGAATCGTCGTCTGAGGAGGAAGATGAAACACCAAAAGGCGAAGGTCACATGCTCAACCTACCGCGGCTATTTCTGCTCATGTACAGCCTTGAACGGTCAGTGATGTGGACTCGCTCGATAGCAAATGCTGCATGCCTTGTGTGTCGCAAAAAGAGTAACCCAGACCAGATGTTACTGTGTGATGGCTGCGACAGAGGCTATCACCTTTATTGTCTTAAACCACCACTAGATGCGGTTCCGCAGGGTGATTGGTTTTGCTCGCAGTGTGCTCCGATACCACTTAGTCCCCGAAAAAGGAAACAAGCCCCAGTTGATTTGTCGAGCGAGGTAAGAAGTTATTTTTATCAAAGCTAGAAAAAAGTACGATGTTATAAATTGTACGCTTTTTTTAAAAAAAACAAATAAGAAAACTAAATTACTAATTTTTAATGTATAGTTTTCTATACGATTTTCCGGTGCAACTTAGAGACCCAAAACTTGAATAACGTTTAAACCACATACGGTAGAATAACGATACCTTGGTAAATGTTTGATGTCCTTTGTTTTACTGTTTGCACATAGAATCCAACTCTCTGGCAACTTCTCAACAGTCGTGTACTTGTGATTTACATCGCCATATTTAATCTCGTTGTGGATGGTTTATTGAATGTGAGGCAGCTGATAAAATAGATCCCTCTGCTTTGTGTTATTAAACGAGCGTGCGCTAGCAGACTGTGGGGAAAGAAAGACAGGAATAGATGCCGTTTGCGTTTGTACAACAGCATTTGATTCTCGTAAAATTTGCTATTCTGAGACCTCTCGCAAGTGCTACACAAAATCCATCAACAAGACACTTCTTGTTGATGGAGGTTGATTCATAACCTCCATAACTTGATTCATAAGTTAAGAAATATTGGCTTAAACGCAGACAAAGTGTGTCCAGGGATACCAAAAACCGGATGAACAACTTGATATTTGCATACTTTACAATACGTAGAAATGTGGACGTCGATCCAACGACCTTAAGGCGACGCCGTATTCGACAATTTGCCATCTGCGATGTATTTCGAAATAAAAGTTAATTTTCCTCCCTACAAAATGCCATTGACTCAACCGTTACGGATTAAAGATCATAAGCGTCATTTACGCACAAATCATATGTTGGAGACCAAGAAAATGCTTTAGTTTTTATTTTTGGTCACATCGTCTTTTGTGATAAAGGCAATTTCCGACTGAACGGCTATATGAATGAATACAATTGTAGTATCTCGGGCTTGGATATGTCAAACAATAGTACAAAGGTTTTTGTGGGGCGAAATGGAGGCATCGGACGCAAACAGCCTTTCGTTCCCTGAGATAAGGAAACTTGCCGCAGAATACGAGAAACATTGGATCAGACGTACTTAGGCCGGTTAATCTTAATGTGTGGCGGTGGCATCGAGTGGCTGTTACATCGGTTTTCCCCAATTCAGACCGCAATGTGGTTGTGTGTTATCGTCAAGTAACCATATTGTGTACCACGACCATGCCATCCTGCCCTATAAATTTGAGTTCATCATATCTGGCACCATTGACTGTTTTCTTTATGAGAAATATCTGTTGCAAATGCATGTGATATCCACGTATTACCTAAGCACTAGCTTAAACTTTAACTATATCAGCACTGTTATTAAACTTTCTTTCGTTTGACTTCAGCTTCTCGCCCAATTTTTCTGAAATAAACGGTACAAAGTAATTCACGTTTCGTCTATAGTGACGGTATTCTCCAGGCGGTTTTTTTCACGTATAACAGTTTCGCAGATTGCTTCTATAGTACACCATACGTATTTTCATGTGTCTTCCACTTATTTCGTGAGAAACCCAATTTTGCCTTTTTTCTTCATTCTCGGAGCTTTCGTCATGATTTCGTAATATACGCCTTGTAGAATATGCTGAGGCAGCAGAAAGGAGTGCATTGTTCATGCTCTATTTCATTATAAAGCTTTAGTTATTATAGCAATTCGTTCTTCTGGTTGAGGGCATAAAATGTAGTCACAGATTTTGTAATCTTTATTTCCGTCTTTTGAAAATACTGCATTAATGAAAAATAGCCCATTGAAAACCTCCTTGCTCACTGCTTTTGTCAAACATGGATTGAACCAGCGTTCTTAGTTGCGAGAAACCGAAGCACAATAATTCGGCTTCGACTTTCAACACTAAACTCTATATTTGTCTCATCATTTTACGATGACTCTGTCATTTTATAATGGCAAACAGTTTGATGTTATTCCGTATATATTAAAGAGTTTCAATAGCTTTAGATAGCCTAACACATCGATATTAAGGTGTTCGTCTTGTGTATTACATGTGAGGCTTAAATAATGAACGGGTCCGGGCTTACTGCGGCATCGTTTTTAACTAATATCTTGCGGTAGTGATGATGATGCTATTGTCATTTATTTTTTCAGGAAGAAGAAGAAGAGGAAAAGGAGAATGACTCCGAAATTGATGAAAATCAGGACGTTTGTCATGCGTGTGAAACGGGCGGTGAGCTGGTCTTATGTGATTCATGTCCCCGTGCCTACCACCTCGAGTGTTGCCAACTTAAGAGAGTGCCTCGAGGACCGTTTAAATGTCCAACCTGTGTTAAAGGTCCTACAAGAAAGAAGACCCGCGGTAGTCCACCGGCTACCAAGGTCAAATTTAAGAGCGGTAAAAACGTTCGACGTATGCTTGACATGGGCGTCGTTGAGGATGTCGAATCATTTGACTACAATGTGTGCTCTAATTTATTAAAACAATTGGTCAAGTTGGACGATGCGTGGCCCTTCCTGGCCAGTGTGACCCGGAAGGACGCGCCCGACTACCACAAAGTCATCAAACGCCCCATGGATTTCGGCACACTTCAGGGTAAATTGAATGATATGAAGTATAGGAATAATGCTTCATTTATCAGCGATGTTCTTCAGATATTTGCAAACTGCTGTGTATATAACAAACCACGCAGCGATGTTGTGAAGGCTGCTACATCGTTGTCTGCTACATTTTGCGAAATGCTTGTTCAAGTGGGGCTCGAATGTTACATCGAATTGAAGGATTCGATCCTAGAGGAGACGGAGGAATCGTCTGGCTGGTCGCAAGGAAAACCCCGCTCCGCGCAGTCAAAGACTAATGGAAATGCCGACACCGACAATAACGACGAGGATGATTATGAAAGCGAGGAGGGATCTGACAATGAAAATGACGATGAAGATGAGGAACAGGACAACGGTGGTGAAGATGAGGACGATTGCGATGATGATGATGAGACGGAAGATGGCAGTAAACACAATAATAACAAAATAGGGGCCAGTAATGAAGAAAACGATGACGATAATGAGGACGATGATGATGAGGACGGCGAAGGGCACGAAAAATCTGCTGACAATTCGGAAGACGACGTTGAAGCAGAGGAGACTAGAGATGAAAGTCATGATAATGGCGGTGAAGACGAAGATGACGAAGAAGAAGACGAGGAAGACGACGACGACGACGATGATGATGAGGATTATGGAAGTAAAAAAACTTTTATTGCAGCCAGGAGAAAGAAGAGCTCCTTGTCATCGCCGAAATCGAAAAAGGACACACAGAGGAAAAGAATTGGATCAGCGATAAGGACTCGTAAGCGTAAAAGAGGTGGTGCAAACGATGATGATGAGGAAGAGGAGGAGGATAGCGCCGATGAGGACTATACCCCGAAAAGGAGATCGGTATCTACCAGAAGAATCAGCTATTAAATATATACCTTACAGTTAGTTAGGATGAGTAACAACAATAATAGAAAAACCACAACAAGTGGACACACACATATAACTCTGTAACTGCAAAGTAACATTAGCAATGACGACATCGCAGCTATACCCCCTGTTGTTACCAGAAGCTTTGAAAGATGAGTGTGTGTATGTAAATACGTAGTTTGAAATAATAACAAACATATGCCTCCCAACGGAAAAGATGGTTTGAATACGCTTTCAAAAAAGGAACACTGATTTGTTGGTGAAAAGGCGCCCTACGGAAACGGGAAAAATAATGCAAGTTCAACACTATGGTATCATACTGTTCTCGATAGCTCATGACCAAACAATAGTTCGTAGTGGACTGGTATATAATGGTAGTGAACAAAAATATATCTAACAAAAAAGAGATGGTAAGAGCAGCGGCACCATTATTAAATGACGGTAACCACAACAACAATAAAACATTAGAAAAGAGGATTCGGTGCATATATCAACTCAAGATGCCGTTTTGCGCCCTTCTACACCGATGAATAATTGTACATAATAGAAGCTGGGTGGCTGGGTAAACTGCTCGTTGTAAACTGCAGAGTACTTATTGAAGGTACATCAATATTTAAATATAT